GACTTTGACCGAGAGTTCATACATGCGCGGATCTCTGAGTGGTATGGCAGCTTGGGTTGATCCAGCTTGGGTTGATCATATTGGCTTGTACTTCAGTTGAGTTGCAGGATCCATAAATCCGGCTGAGAAGATGCTAAGTCAAGCATTGCAGAACCGGTACGCGGATGGGGATATATGGGATATTTATGGATATTTGCTTTGGGTGTTAGTCTGCATGGTTTGTAGCTCCAAGTTGGGAACTGGCAAAGCCAATAGGGTTGTGGGGAAGGTTCCCTAGCGCCAAGGTAGCCCGGAGGCCTTCACTGAGTACGTGCGAGGCCCATTGTTCCGAGAACTGGCAGGGCCCTTGTCCGGCATCCAGGTAGCCTGGCCCCATGGGGCTGAACCCCGTTTATGGGCGGGTGATTCAAACATGGCAAAAGGCGCTTTTACTACGGCCCTGGCGTTTCCGCAAGTATCAAGCTCCAGGCAGAGCTCCATGCATATATGGTCCCGGCTGGCGGCCGGCTACCCCCCCCCAATAGCATGGTCCCCCACACCGAGCCCAACACGTAGCATCCTGTAACATATCATCAAGTGTTTGTGCAAGTACGAGGGAAGATCTTTTAATGTAGCACCAAGCGTTTGTGAAAGTCTGCAAGTACAAAAGAAGATCCTATAATTAACCTCAAGTGTTTGTGCAAGTACACGAGAAGATCTATTAATGTAGCACCAAGTGCCTGTGCAAGTACAAGAGGAGATCCTTTCAGAGACCATCAAGTGTCTGCGCATGTACAATAGAGGGTCTTGTAACGTAACATCAAGTGTTTGTGCAAGTACAAGAGAAGATCTTGTAATGTAAAGTCAGGCGTCTATGGAAGTAGGTGAGACGATCTTATAACTTCGTATAACGTTGCATCAATTGCCTGCGCGTGTACAATCGTAGAAGGTCTTGTAACGTAACATCAACTGTCTGTGCAAGTACCAGAGAGGATCCTATAACGTAGCAGCAAGAGTCTCTGGTACGAGAGATCTCGTGCAACGTAGCATCCAACATCTGTGCAAGCATGAGAGAGGATCGCAAGCATCTGGACAGACAGCAGGTAGGCAGGCAGACAGACATACTTACAAGTTCCATACCTAGGCACTGACATACTTACATACCTACATACTGACATACTTACATACCATCATACTTACATACTTACATACCTACATACCTACATACCATTACATACCTACATACCTATGTGGCTACATACCTACATACCATTACATGCCTACATGCCTATGTGGCTACATACCTACATGCCTACATACCTACATACCTACATACCTACCTACATACCCGCATACCTACATACCTACATACCTGCATACCTACATACATACATACATACATACATACATACATACATACATATATGCATACATACATACATACATACATACATACATACATTACGAACAGTACATACATTACATGCCTTACGAACATTACATACATTACATTATATACATTGTATTACATACATTACATTACATACATACATTACATACATTACATTACATACATACATTATATACATACATTACATTCATTACATTCATTACATACATTACATACCCAAGATACATAAGATACAAAAGATACATACGATACATAAGGTACATAAGATACATAAGATACATCAGATGCATAAGATACAAAAGATGCATAACATACATAACACACATAAGCTACATAAATAACATGCATACCATACATACCACCCATACCATGCATACATCCATACATACATACATGCATACCTACATACATACATACATACATACATACATTACATACATACATACATACATCCATGCATGCATACATACATACATACATACATACAGACACACACACATACATGCATACATACGTACGTACGTACATGCAAACATACATACATTACATGCATTACATACATTTACATACATTACATACATTACATACATTACATACATTACATACATTACATACATTACATACATTACATACATTACATACATACATACATACATTACATACATTACATACATTACGTACATTACATACATGACATTACAGTACATTACATTGCATTGCATTACATTACATTACATACATACATACATACATTACATTACATTACATTACATCACATTACATTACATACACTACATACATTACATACATTACATACATTACATACACTACATACATTACATACATTACATACATTACATACATTGCATACATTACATACATTACATACGTTACATACATTACATACATTACATACATACATGACATTACATTACATTGCATTACATTACATACATACATACATACACACAGACGGACGGACGGATGGACGGACGGACGGACAGACAGACACACACACACACATAGATACATAGATACATAGAAACAATGATAGATGATGACCAAGAGACCCCCCCATTTCCACAGGAGGGCGGGGAGAACATACATACTAGCATACTAACATACTAACATGCTTACATACATACGCAGGGAGAGCAGTCCATGACCAGGACTGGAACCATGACCATGACGGGGAGGGGGGTGGGGCTGCAGGCCTGTACCATATATGCCTGCGTCTGGGATCCTGTGTCTTGAAGATCTTTTGATTTAACTTGACATTTGTTGCGTGTGCAAACCGACAAAAAACTAATGAATTCCACGGAGCATTCGTTGCGTGTGCAAGTCGAAAAGAACCTGATGATCCAATGTGGCATTGGTCTTGTGCGTGCAAATTCCGTATTGGCTGTGCACAAGTTGGAGGGGACCTGATGATTTAACTCATGATTCTTGATGATTCTTGAAGCGAACGTTAGACTGTTAGACCTTATGACACCCCCACCTCGTCCTTTTCCACCGTGCGAAGGGAATCTTACAAGGTAGCGTCATTTGCGTGTGCAAGTTGAGGTGAGCATGATTACACCGCCCTCCACCCACCCCTGTTTGACGTGGTGCCAGTTGCATGTTCAACATTGTTGAAGCTCAGAAAACACTAAGAAACTGCAGGTCCGTTAGCAGCGACGGTAGCTCAAGCAACATTCGCTCGAGGTTTCACATATGTTTGTTTCTACATCCTAAATGAACCCAATCTGATTCATGTTTCTGGGATGGGTGGCCTCTCCCGACACTACCTCGGCCGACGGCCAAGACTTCAGGTTCCAATCGCTTACTGGGCTCTAATCGCAGCAATTGAGACAAGCTCTTTACTAGAGTTCCTGGGCGCAGGTTGATACAACACAGACTGAATGGCAAATCCTTTGCAAATAGCTAGGGGGCGGCGGCAGCACCTGGGACCAATTCAATTTTGTTGTTTGCAATTGGTTTCTAACTGGTTCTTATTTTTTTAAGTGTGGTTTGTGGATGAATCAACTGCCTCGGCCCTGATGTATGATTGTATATGATTGTCGTAGTGCTGACAAGACAGCCCCATGATCTTCTGATGAAAGACGGGGTCAATCCTTTCATTTTTCTGGATTGTCCATCGCCTCCATGAGCTTTCTCAATGTCTGAGTTGGCTTGGTATGATGAGCTGTTTGGTTGCTATGGGTTTGGGAATACTCGGGTTAGCTATGTCATATTTTTTTGGTTTTGCTGCCAGTTTTGCCCCACCTCTGAGATTTGTTCTGATTAGAGGAGAGAGGAGTCCTCATGGTCAGAGCTCTTATTACTGTTGTCGCCAACTCATGTAGTTCCCCACCTGCCAAGTGAGGGTCACTGAGGGTCTCTAGACCTTAGCAAAGGTGCAACTCCTTCTTTTCCTCTTCCTCCTTCGCCGCCTCGTCTCCTCTGCCAGCTCCGGATGCAGTGGAGCACGCCTGGACCCGAACGCTATTTCGAGCTCCGGATGCAGCAGTGGAGTCAGAATAGGTGCCAGATAGATAGAATGCCGGAAAGAATGTCAGAATAGATATGCCATATACTGTATACTTAGTTATACGTCCAGATAATCGAAGGAAGTTTAGAAGTCAAACTTCCGACTATATGGACAGATGAAAAAGCAGAGGTGGGAAGAGTCAGAAAAGAGAAAGGAAGAAGAAAGAAGATCAGAGAAGAGAAAGAGTCAGAAGAAAGAAGATGCAGGCGCGCGAAAAGTTAGAAAAGTCGCGCGTCACTGTGTTTTTCGAATGGCTCCGGAGGGTCGAAAAGTAGGCTCGTTAAAGCGGCGGGTGCGGAGCCATTTGGGGAGATGAAAGATGAAAAATTGCATGCCGTTGTGGCGCGAAGCACATTTCGAAGTCAAGATGGACAAAACATATCAGGTTCGGACCACTTTTGGAAGTTGAGATGATGAAAAAGTGGACGCCGTTGTGGCGCGAAGCACATTTCCAAGTCAAAAAGTACAAAGCACACCAGGTTCGGACATGTTCGGACCACTTTTGGAAGTTGCACCCTATTGTGGCGCGAAGCACGTGTGGAAGGAACATGTACAAAACATTACAAAACACTTCAGTGTTGGAGCACTTTTGGAAGTTGAGATGTTCAAAGAGTGCACATTTGGACGGAGCACTTTTGGAAGTTGAGATGTTCAAAAAGTGCACATTTGGAAGTCAAAATGTTAATTAAAGGACCGGATAACCCCACATAACTTCTTCCAATAATGAGCAACAAATGTTGTAGCGGGACGGGGAAGGAAGGAAAGACAAAGGAGGTGGTGAAGGATCGAGAAGTAAAAACAACTGTGTGGGACAAAGTCGTATGTGAAAGATGTTGTGTGACAAAGAAAGATGGTGTGTGAAAAGATGGTATGTATGTATGTATGCATGCATGTATGTATGCATGCATGTATGTATGTATGTAAGTATGTAAGTATGTAAGTATGTAAGTATGTAAGTATGTATGTAGCCAAGACCGGCATGCCAACACTGGAGCCAGCCCAGTGCCATAAGTGCCACACCTGCCACGCAAAGTGACGGTCGATGTGGCCAAGTGCCACGCCTGCCACGCACACAGCCGCGGCGCCAACGGCGCCAAACGGGGCCCAAGCACACCACCAGAGCCAGCCCAGTGCGATAAGTGCCACGCCTGCCACGCGAAGTGACGATCTATGTCGCGAAGTGCCACGCCTGCCACGCAAAGTGACTGGTCGATGTGGCCAGGTGCCACGCCTGTCGCGAAGTGCCACGCCTGCCATGCAAAGTGACGGTCGATGTCGCCAAGTGCCACGCAACCACGGCGCCAAACGGGGCCCAAGCGCGCCATCGGAGCCAGCCCAGTGCCATAAGTGCCACGACTGCCATGCAAAGGGACGGTCGATGTCGCCAAGTGCCACGCCTGCCTCGCAAACGGCGGCGGCGACCACGGCGCCAAACGGGCCCCAAGCGCGCCACCAGAGCCAGCCCAATGCCGTAAGTGCCACGACTGCCACGCGAAGTGACGATCTATGTCGCGAAGTGCCACGCCTGCCACGCAAAGTGACGGTCGATGTGGCCAGGTGCCGCGCCTGCCACGGTGTGTGAGTAAGTTGTGTGGTGACAAGTTGTGTGTGTGAGTAAGTTGTGTGGTGAAAAGTTGTGTGTGTGTGTGTAAGTTGTGTGTGGTCAAGTTGTGTGTGGTCAAGTTGTGCGTGAGCAAGTTGTGCGTGAGTAAGTTGTGTGTAAGTTGTGTGTGGTCAAAGTTGTGTGTGGTCAAGTTGTGTGTGGGTAAGTTGTGTGGTGACAAGTTGTGTGGTGATCAAGTTGTGTGTGGTCAAGTTGCGTGTGGGCAAGTTGTGTGGTGACAAGTTGTGTGTGAGTAAGCGGGCGGGACGGGGCGGGATGGGCGGGGCGGAAGTGCACAATCAAAAACAAGAACCCCACACAAAGATGTGGGGAAAAACGCACCATTCTCGGACCACTTTTGGAAGTTGAGCTGTTGAAAAAGTGCATGGCGTTGCAGCGCGAAGCGCATTTTGAAGTCAAAACTGTCAAAAACTGGCGTGTCCGGTGCAATTTGGGAAGTTGAGATTTTGAAAAAGTGCACGCCGTTGTGGCGCAAAGCACATTTCAAAGTGAAACATGTTAAAAACCGACGGTCCCGTACCATTTTTGGAAGTTGAGATGTTGAAAAAGTGCACGCCGTTGTGGTGGGGAGCACATTTCGAAGTCAGAAATTTTAAAAACACACCACGTTCGGACCACTTTTGGATGTTCAACCACACTATACACAACCACAACAACAACAACAACAACACCAACACCAACCACAACAACTACAACTACAACAACTACAACAACAACTACAACTACACAACAACTACAACTACAACTAGAACTACAACAACAACTACAACAACAACAACAACAACCACAACAACCACAACAACCACAACAACCACAACAACCACAACAACCACAACAACCACAACAACCACAACAACCACAACAACCACGACAACCACGACGACGACGACGACAACTACAACTACAACTACAATGTACTACAACTACAACTACAACTACAACTCCGCGGCAGCACACTACACTCCACTTCGCCACATTACATTACCACTACACTACCACTACACTGCACCGACGCTAGCACTACACTACACTGCACTGCACCGCAATGCACTGCAATGCACTACACTACACGCAACTACTACACGACACTCAACTACACTACACACAACTGCAGCTACAACAACTACAACTACAACTGCAACTTCACTACATTACACTCCACTTCACCACATTAAATATACTACCACTACACTACCACTATTCTACAACCACAACCACAACTACAACTCCACTACGCTACACTACACTCCACTTCACCACAGTACAGCACCACTACCACTACACTACCACTACACTACACACAGCTACAACTACAACTAAGACCCAAGCTAAAACTAAAACTACAACTCCACTACACCTCCACTCCACTCCATTACACTACACCAGACCACACCTATTACACCTACTACAACTACTACAACTACTACAACTACAATATTACAACTACACCAGCATCAAGTACAGCTACAGCTACACTACAATACAGCCACAGCTACAACTACAATTACATTGCGCTACACTTCACCACTACATTCAGCAATTGCGGTTGGGGTGACCACTGCAACCACTCCAAACATCAGGGTGGGGATCACTCGAAGTGAGGCATTTGTTCTTCATTTTTTGTGTTGAGTTATGCTCACTCCATGCAATGTTTGACATTTTTTCAAACATGCCACAGTTGAGGTTTCAAATGAGCTACTATCTTGGCGGGGCTCCCTGGGACACGTTGCTTTCTCATTTTTTGGCTTCTGTCCTCGCGAGCGTGCTATGGCGAGTCGTGCCCTGCCTGTGCCGCGAGAAGTTTTCATATATTTTGATATTTAAAGAATGCTTAGTCGGGAGGATCATCCCAGTTCCACAACCGGCCATACTTGCTTAGTTTCAAGTTTCAACATGTTTCAACCACTGAAATGCGATGATGATCCCCAACGTCGAGCATCCTAGTTATATTTCAGCGGATGGCCCAACACCAACTAGTCATTATTTTCTAAAAACACAAAAAAACTATGCAATGTTATTTGGGGCGTCTATAAAACATTGAAGGGTTTTGACAAGGTTTCCAGTTTCCAGATGTTTGTTGCGATGTGAAGTAGGGGAATAGTCCAAACGCATGAGAAGGAAGTAAGAACCTAGAGGTGTCCATAGGGAGACTGGGATGATGTGCTGCTGTTAGTTTTCCAACCCGGAGAGGAAGCGATGCGAATCTCGGAGCCCGTGTGGACCCCCTATCCTATCAATTTCTCAGGATGCTCATTTTTGATTGCGACCCTTGGTTTGTTACAAGGTTTCTAAGATGGGGATTGCTGCACTACAGAGTGAAAATTCTTATTGGAGATTCCCCGGCCCTATCCGCTAGAGGTTTTGGGGCCCCACTTGTCGAGCCCATTGCCACCTCATTTACGGGGTAAAGTTTAAAGTGACTTAATGTATAGTATGGAGAGGTTTTGGGTTGTGAATCTGATATAACCTGATGAGGTTGCAGTTGAGGACTTGGGTTCCTGATTCTTGGAGTTTAAGGATCACCATTTCATCATCTTAAGTCCATAGTTTTGATCAAAGACAGCTCTGATCTGTGATGATATTTGATCATTGATCAAAGCCTTTCTTGGCCCCCAATTGCTGGACGTCCCCGGGTTTTCTTCGCAGGTTTGCTTAACTCTTTCTCTTAACCTTTGCGATTGGTGTAGCGCTCGCAGCAGCTTGACCATTGATCTCCTCAAGAGCTTCTTGGTTTGGATCCTGACTCTTGGCATCTGCTTAGCCGCGGCCAAGGGGCCCCTTGGGGCCAAGGGTTGGGAGCGTGGAGCCTGAGAAGTGGAAGGCGATAACCCAAGTAATTATTATGATTGCGCATGGAATTTGACTTATCAATCATCCATTATTTAAATGTATACCAGTAGGGCATGTAGAGGGCAGCCAGGTGACGGAAGTTTCCAAAGGGGGAGAAGCTTATAAAGAAAAAGGAGAGCCTATAGGAAGGAAGTCCGACCGCCTGGTCGTCACGGCCGTTGACTGCATGATCTCTTGGGTTCTTTGTCCTTGACATGTCTCTTTCTCGACATCCTTTTCTGATGATGCCACTTTCTCTTGATCCGGTTTGCCCTTGTCATCTCTGAATCTTGACCGTCCTTCCTGTTGCTTGCTGTTTGTCTGGACGTCTTTTTGATTCTGACATTTCTTTCTCTCGTGTTTCTTTTCTGATGTTGCCACTTTCTCTTTGTCCGGTTTGCGCTAGTTATCTCTGAAACTTGACAACTCGACTCTCCTGTTGACAGCTCTGCAGCCCAAGACCTGACATACTAGTATCTCCTGACAAACTTCTTTCCGTGTGCTAGTCACTTCACTATAACGTCTTCATGTCCCCGCTTTCGTGTTTGTTTGTGTTTGTGTTGTGTTGTGTTCGGTGTGCATCCCCCCCCGCTGCACACGGTGGCACCCTCCGCTCCTGTTTGCCCAGTGCCTCCCACGCGTGTGTTGGTGCCCGACCGCCCAGTCGAACCACCGTCCTTACTGTATCGGTAGGCGACTTCCGAGTCGACCTACCGTCCTTGGTGGTGGCTGACTCTCAGCATTGGTTTGTCGGAAAGTGGGGTTCCATATCTCTATCACGAAACAAAATCACAATAATCACAACATCCCGAATAAATCACATCAAATATACCCAATCGGCTGATGCTTTGGTACTCGGCGGATCACCCCACGAATCGTCACCAATCATACTCCAGCTATTCATCCCTGAACCGGATCATCAACATTCTATAGTGGTTGACAAATATGGTTCCTCACCAACGTAGACTAGTATCCACTGAATAGATGACGAAAATATGCAATTCCATTTCCGAGAGATTAATATAAGTTGTACGACTGGTTCGTTAATGATTGAACTCTTCAAGATGTCTCAGCTAATACCTGCCCATCCCCCATGGATTCTTTAGAAACTTCAGTGCTGCAAAGCCATGATAGAACATCAAAAGGTTGTTTCGCAAGCTAATTCGTTTAAAACCCTGGTTCAAAAAACGCGTCAGCCACACCACACAAATTTGCTGGAGCCACTTTGTGCGGGACAACAAAGGCGTCCTGCAATTCCTATAACCTCCAAAATCCTCCAAACATCAGCTCGACGAAGCAATTCCACTGCGAGCTGCAATCTGCGCCTCGCAAGTCACAACGGAACTGCGTCAACCAAGACTGCAAACACAAACCTGAAGCAACCATTACAATGCGATCTGCACCCATGAGTTCAATATTACATGCTTTGATTTGATGATGGTGGTGATGTGGTGAGGCGGTGATGTGATGATGTGTGATGTGGTGATGTGGTGATGTGGTGATGTGGTGATGTGTGATGCATGTGGTGATTTTATGATGGTGGTGATGGTGGTGGTGGTGATGTGGTGCTTGATTTTCTTCACTGCCATATTTTCCGTACAACGGAAGAGTTTAGACGTTTAATTTTCCTTTCATAAACGTCTATGGTCACCGACAGAATTATGGAAAAAAATAAAACGTTCAACTTAGACAGGCGGCGCCTGCGTCCGATTTTTCCATAATTGGATTTTTCCCGATAAGGGTTCAAAATATCCAAGAAGTGATCCGAACCTTGTTTTTTTCCATAATTCTTGGAGGTGGCCATTATTTCCATAATTGATTTTTCCTGTGAAATCAGGGGGCTAGGGCAGATTGACCGGATTTTCCATAATTAGTTTTTCCATAATTAATGTTTGGGGCTCCACCTGTTGGACATGTCATGGATCCACAATTCAAACCCTTTTTTTTGGGGGTTATGGAAATATGTATGCAAATGCAAGTATGTAGTATCAACCCAATTGGTGGCTTGGCAAAAGGAAACATCCAGATATTATGTATATCAATGGCAGGCTTTAGGGGCATATACCAGATCTTTAGACACATATTTTCTATAATTCAATATTCCCCCTTAAAATGCATTCAAATTGCGAACATCACATAATATTATGTATATCAATGGAAGACTTAGGGGCATATACCAGATCTTTAAACACATATTTTCTATAATTCAATATTCCCCCTTAAAACGCATTCAAATTGCGAATCGATGGACATACAGTCACCGACAGAATTATGGAAAAAATAATTATCGAAACAATAATTATGGAGAAAAAAAAGGTTCGTAACTTTTCTATCATAGACAGGCGGCGCCTGCAAATTGAAACGTTTTTTTTTCCATAATTCTGTCGGTGACTGTAGGCATAGTATAGACGATACATTACATTTAGGTAACCAAGTTAATTTCGACCATTTTTTTGTTGAACCTTGGGGCAATCCTGAACATGGTGGGCAAGTCTCAGGGTGTTGGCTGAGCACTGAGTTGGCATCATTTGCCGGATGCTGCTAGCAGTACTGATGACACCCGGGGGAACTATTATTTGTCCTCAACCTGCAACCTGCAAAAATTTGGTGTTTTTCGAAACAACGAAAATTAGAGGCTTCATGGTTTGACCAAGAAAATTCGGAGCTAATCAACAAAAATTAGGGATTGAACGAAGAACACCTGAAAAAACATCGGGGAACGGGGAACGGTAGTTTATTCTTGATCTTGCCAAACGGATGTGATTGAATTTGCGGGTTTATCAAAGATACACCATGAAACTGGGAAGGTGAACGTCAGGGATTTTACTGGGAAGGTGGATGTCAATGATTTTTTTGTTCCAAAAATGGTTTGCAGTCCAAAATGGCCACGACAATCCTATGAGGACATGTGGAATCCTCTATGTTTCCATGGTACTGGACTTCATTTGCCAACGCGGAGGCGTCGCTGGCAATCGGCTCAAGGGAATTCAATTATGGAACCCCAAGAAACACTCGCACAGTTGTTCCAGTTGGCAATTGCCAGTGGTAGCGGTCCACGCGGGTCCACGTCACCTTTTGGGTATTGTGATGTTATTCTTTGTTTTCCGAGACTTGTTATTTTGTCGTTCTGGCATTATTTAGTGGCTCTGGCCCTGGCACCCCTTTTTCCTGAAAATTAGGAAGAGAAAACGGCTCACATCAGTGAAGCTGGTGCAGATGCTGATTGTGGTTTGGGGACGGGGTGTATGCGTTTACTGAGGCAGGGGTAGAAAACCTTATAGGATTGCGGAAATGTGAGGCCAATGCATTCAAAGGTCAAATCCATTCAAATCCCTCGTGATCCCAGCTATGTTGCAGTTTTGTTGTGTTTCTGTTGTAGTTGCATCGGTGGCATTGGCGTAGAGTGGGGTTGCAGGATTGTTATATATGGTGCCTTTGCATGTGGATATGTTTTGCCGATAGTTTCTTGGGGCCGAATCACAATACAATTCGTGCCATTTTTTGCGGTTGTTCCATGTTTTTCCTTTGATCCATCCTTCACTTTTCTGTGTTTGGACGCAATGATTCTAACGAGACTTATTTGCATCGTTGAAGTCATGTTTCGCAAAAATGTGAGTGATCATTAGTGCATTTCCCTTTGCGGATCCCGTTTTCTCGGTACTTTCTTCCAATCAACCCTTCATATTATATTTGGTGAACCCAACAATAAACCACCATAGTTACAATCCATACTTGGGGACAACTTGGGGATGTTTTACCATGTTTTACTACTTTTTTCACATAAAATTCGGCTAGTTTATTGTTGGTTTTATTCACATTAATTATAATTCATGTGATCCAATAATCCAATAAGGGTGAGAACGAATCAACTCATATCAGCTCCATGGGTGACAAGTGGATCAAGCCCAGATCGATGCCATTGCAGGCCCCTTGACGGCAGCACTCAATGCCTTGGCCGCAATCTTCGTGGCGTTTTTGTCCCTGGGTGGCTGGAACTGGCTCTGTCGTGGACGGCGCTGAGTTGTGCCCGTTGGATGGGTCACATCTCATGGCAATCATTCTCCGTTGCGTCTCACAGGTGGACCAAAGGTGGACCACTGCATCTCACAGCTGGAGCACCTGTGGCCAAAGAGTCAAGACCCAGGCACCCAGTGATTTTTGGTCCTTTTGCATTCTTTTTGCGATAAACAATCCCTATTACGAGCGGTATTTGCTGTGCTCAGTTTTCGCCTACATTCCCATTTAGATCATTTGGGTTGAACATGGACACTTCAAGACGAACATTTGAACAAAGAGCAACGTTTCGAAGAAACACCTGGAGTGTTCCACCCGGATGCTTGGTACATCAATGGCCGAGGCCATTTCACAAAGATCCTTTTCAAAATCCAGTATAGCCGTATAGCTACCGGAGCTGCATGCACCGAATGGTGCCATCAGCGACCATGGCAACCTGCCCAAACGCATGCCGGATCAACGCCACAGGCAATGCCCAGAAAATGCGTGTATTGGTTCACTTTGCGCTTTGGCGCTTACCCAATAAATTAAGCTATTAGACTAGAGTCACTAGAGATAGAGAGACCATACATGCATATCTATGGCATGGGGTACGCCACCAACAGCAAAACACATCAACTTTGAGGCCGTAGCACAATGCCACCGGTTTGCTGTAGCTTTTCGACGTGATTTATGCATCCATGAGTATCCATGACATCATAAGTAAAACACCACAGATGATCATAGATGCAGTTCCAAAAAAAAATAGATTCTTGATACCCTTAATCCAGCTATATCCAGCTTACAGAAGTCAAGGAAGCTGAAGCCAGGGTCAGATGTGGCCATCCACGAAGCTCCGGCATCAATTCCCGCTTCCAAAGCCAGCAAACAGTGCCGCTGGTTTCATTTCATGGCTACATCCTCCATGGGCACTTGATTTACGGGATAATATGGGATTGGAAGTCAGCACTTTAAAAACAGATTACGGAAGAACCCTTTTTGATCCCACTAAAACACATTTAATATCATATAATCAGCCAAGAATGGCTTAAACTATCTCCCGGTGCAACAGCAGTTGCCGTACTGCCTGCGCCAACCAGCTCCGAGGGCGGGGACGCATCCAACACGTTTCTTCTTGGGCCACCTCTTAGTGGCGGCACCTCGGTTGAGTCGAAAGGGGCTGGGATGGGGATGGGGATCTAAGAGTTGATCTTTGAGACTGGAAAGATTTGATGGCTGGGATGGGAAAATACCCGAAATGGATTCCGAATGGTTTTTAGCCTCCTTGTACTAGAGTTCTGGTATGTTCTGGTATGTTCTGGTATGTTTGGGGTGTTTTTTGTGCAGGTGGGTCACACCAACCACGCCCGGCAGGCAGCCATTTTCAGGTCCAAGTGGTGCAAGCGTCGAAAATCCCAACCACCCAGGGCCCAGTGATCCCCAGTGCCTCATTGAAGAGGACCTCCATTTCTCCCAAGGGGCATTGTTGGTGAAATCACCATTTTTGAGATGGTTAAGTATACCCATAGTTTGTTTGTATGACATATATATATATAAATATATATATATACCGGATATATTCACATTTCCCGCACAGACAGGGTAGGACCGAACATTTTTTTTTTTTGCGGCGGAGGGTGCTTTTACTGGAGAATCTTCTCATCTACAGTATTGTCTATTGTACTCCTCATCCCAGTTAGTCAGATTTCAATATCATTTTACTTAGTAAGCCCCTATGTGGGGATATCCCACATATGTTTTTGGAAAATAGATAGATATCCTACATGTCATTATGTTTAATTACTTGAAACAATGTTCTACTCAAAGATGGATTTACCCATTTACCAATAAAAACAATAACAAGAACAGTTATATAATCGAAGGAAGTTTAGAAGTGAAACTTCCGACAATATGGACCGTTGAAAAGCAGAGGTGAAAAGAGTCAGAAGAGAAAAGATCAGAAGAAAGAAGAGGTAGATGCGCGAAAAGATAGGAAAGTCGCGATTCACTGCGTTTTTCCAATGATTTGTGGCTCCGGAGGGTCGAAAAGTAGGCTCGCTAAAGCGGCGGGGGCGGAGCCAGCTGGCCAGATGAGACATGAAAAAGTGCACGCCGTTGTGGCGCGAAGCACATTTTGAAGTCAAAATGTGCAAAGCACACCAATGTCGGACCACTTTTGGAAGTTGCGATGTCGAAAAAGTGCACGCCGTTGTGGCGCGAAGCACATTCTGAAGTCAAAATGTACAAAACACACCATGGTCGGACCACTTTTGGAAGTTCCGATGTCGAAAAAGTGCACGCAGTTGTGGCGCGAAGCGCATTTCCAAGTCAAAATGTACAAAACACTAGGGGTTCGGACCACTTTTGGAAGTTGAGATGTCGAAAAAGTGCACGCGGTTGTGGCGCGAAGCACATTTTGAAGTCAAAAGTGTTTAAAACTGAGGGTTTTGAGCCTTTTTTGACGTGAAGATGTCGAAAAAGTAGACACTAATTAAGTTAACTAACTTGACTAACTTAACTAACTTCACTAACTTAACTACCCTTACTTCGACGACAACAGCAACAGCAACAGCAACAACAACAACAACAACACCAACACCAACACCAACCACCACAACTACAACTACAACTACAACAACTACAACTACAACAACTACAACTACAACTACACAACAACTACAACTACAACTAGAACTACAACAACAACTACAACAACAATAACAACAACAACTACAACTACAACTACAACTACAACTACAACTACACTACACAACAACTACAACTAGAACTACAACTGCAACAACTACAGCTACAACAACAACAACAACAACGACAAAAACAACAACAACAAAAACAACAACAACTACAACAACAGCAACAACAACTACAACAACAACAACTACAACAACAACAACTACTACTACACAACAACTACAACCACACAACAACTACAGCTACAACTACAACAACAACAACAACTACAACTACAACATCCCCCACCCCTTAAAATGTATATTGAGGGGGGGGGGAGCCGGGAATTCTCATACATTTCCAGGGCCCCCCCCACCTCTGAAACGGGTATTTTTGTATGAACTAGTTTTTGTAAAATTAAGAGATTACCTAAAGAGGTGGGGAGTGTTCCTCATACATTTTCAGTATTTGGCTTCAAAAGCTTGTTTAGAAAAAGGTGGGGAGGCGGTTTCATACATTGATTTTGCAAGGCCATGGATCTTTGATGCTCATGGAGTTTTCCTGGGGAATCTTACGAAATAGCATGACGCTTTTGACCACCCCCCCCCCTGAAATCTAAGTTTGCCAAATTATGGGAGGCCACCTACCCCCCCTGGGTTAATACATTAATAATTCCCAAGTTTGGAGGGGGGGGTGCGAAATTTGGAAGGGGGGGGGGGCGCAGATGAAGTATCATGAATGTATGCACCTGGGGGGTCAGCAGCAGTTCCATGCCGCACATTCATTATACATGAAGGTTGTCTTGAGAAGCCTAAATGTACTAAATGCAATAGTATGCAGTAGTTGTTTCTGATTCTTATCTATTGTTAGGGTGCCTTTTTCTAACATTTTTTCAGGATTGCACTGTACCGAAAGGATGTTTTTTTAGGTTGAGCCTTGGGTTGAAGATGGTTGAAGTGTGTTGATCTAATCCAACCCTGCCCATTCCGTATAGCTCTTTCAACTTCTGTTTTTTTATCAAACATTGAGTTCCAAAGTCTTATGGTGTCAGATGCTTTCAACAGTCTTACTCACAGGGTACTGCAGAGATTCGCCTTTCTTCACCAGCCCATAGCTACCAACTCCCCAACACCAACTGCGGGTTTTCTGTTTGTCATGTTTGAAGGGGGGGGACCTGCACATCAGTGCAGCTATACATTTCAGGTACTGGGGGGCAGGGCACATCCAGCAGAATCCTAGGGTCGGTGGTTCCAATAGTTTCCAGTAGTAGGGAGAATGGCAACGCATGCCAACACAGCCCAGAGCATGGGAATAAAATGTATGAAAGGGGGGGGACCTGCACACCAGTGCAGCCATACATTTCAGGTACTGGGGGTGGGGCACATCCAGGAGAATCCTAGGAGTTCCAGGTGGTTCCAATAGTTTCCAGTAGTAGGGAGAATGGCAACGCATGCCAACACAGCCTAGAGCATGGGAATAAAATGTATGAAAGGGGGGGGGACCTGCACACCAGTGCAGCCATACATTCCGGTACTGGGGGTGGGGCACATCCAGGAGAATCCTAGGAGTTCCAGGTGGTTCCAATAGTTTCCAGTAGTAGGGAGAATGGCAACGCATGCCAACACAGCCCAGAGCATGGGAATAAAATGTATGAAAGGGGGGGGGACCTGCACACCAGTGCAACCATACATTTCAGGTACTCGGGGTGGGGCACATCCAGGAGAATCCTAGGAGTTCCAGGTGGTTCCAATAGTTTCCAGTAGTAGGGAGAATGGCAACGCATGCCAACACAGCCCAGAGCATGGGAAAAAATGTATGAAGGGGGGGGGACGTGCACACCAGTGCAGCCATACATTTCAGGTACTGGGGGTGGGGCACATCCAGGAGAATCCTAGGAGTTCCAGGTGGTTCCAATAGTTTCCAGTAGTAGGGAGAATGGCAACGCATGCCAACACAGCCCAGAGCATGGGAATAAAATGTATGAAAGGGGGGGGGACCTGCACACCAGTGCAGCCATACATTTCAGGTACTGGGGGTGGGGCACACCCAGGAGAATCCTAGGAGTTCCAGGTGGTTCCAATAGTTTCCAGTAGTAGGGAGAATGGCAACGCATGCCAACACAGCCCAGAGCATGGGAATAAAATGTATGAAAGGGGAGGGGTGACCGGCACACCAGTGGGGCACATCCAGGAGAATCCTAGGAGCTCCAGGTGGTTCCAATAATTTTTAGTAGTAGGGAGAATGGCAACGCATGCCAACACAGCCCAGGGCATGGGAATAAAATGTATGAAAGGGGGGGGGGACCTGCACACCAGTGCAGCCATACATTTCAGGTACTGGGGGTGGGGCACATCCAGAGAATCCTAGGAGTTCCAGGTGGTTCCAATAGTATGCACCAGTATGGAGAAGGGCAACGCATGCCAACAGACCCCAGAGCATGGGAATAAAATGTATGAAAGGGGGGGGGAACCTGCACACCAGTGCAGCCATACATTTCAGGTACTGGGGGTGGGGCACATCCAGGAGAATCCTAGGAGTTCCAGGTGGTTCCAATAGTATTCACCAGTATGGAGAAGGGCAGCACATGCGAACAGACCCCAGAGCATGGGAATAAAATGTATGAAAGGGGTGGGGGAACCTGCACATCAGTGCAGCCATACATTACTGGGAGCAGGGCAGTGTTTTCCAAGATTCTGACAAAGTCCCACGATATCTTACAAGTGTATGAGCCAGAGGGCCCTCCATGCCTATCGAGAACCGTGAAGCGAGGTTCGAATATCGAGAATCGAGAAGCGGGAAGCGAGGATCGAGGATACTGGATCGAGAATTGAGAATCGAGAATGGAGAATTGAGAATCGAGAATCGGGAATCGAGAAGCGAGGATCGAGGATCGAGGATCGAGAATCGAGAATGGGGCTTGTCAAGCCAGGTCGGGAAAATTGATGAGAATGGCAGACAGGTTCAGAACAAAGTGGAAGTTTCAATGTTCAAATACTTCTTGTTGTTTCCAAATGATTCTGCATCTTTCCTTCGAAAATTAAATGCAACAAACTTCAAAGCATCGTGAAAAGAAATTAGCAGCCGTGTGCAGCTGTCCTGTTTTTAAAGCATCGAAATTTCGTGAGTTTGCAATAGTTTGCGGCCTTAGCGAAGAGAACGACTGGAAATTGCTTTGGACCCATTCATTCTGTGGCCAGATATCGAAAGAAATCGTGGAAATCAATCGAAGGAAATCGTCCGCTTTTGAGGTTGAAACAAGATAGTCCCCCCTTACTTTCATACATTTCCAGTGATTTACAGAAACCACCTAGTCCCCCCTATATTTTATACATTTGATTTTGTCTCATCTTATCCAGGTTACTGCAGTAAATGACCTGGTCCCCCCTGTGCTTCATACATTTTAAGATTTTTAACTTGCAATGAATTAATATGAATTAATAGTTCCTAGTAGCAGCTCACCCCCCAGAGGAATACATTTTGGGGGTTTCCCAAGCATTGTTTAAGTGCTGGTGCAGAGCAGGTCCCCCCCATGTCTCATTCAATCAAAAATGATAATGTATAAACCTTCTTGACACCTCTTTTAAGCCTCTTTCCGTCGCCGGGCTTGACCACCTGCTCCCCCCCCCCGTTCCTACATTCGATGGAAATGTATGAAGGGGAGGGGGGGTAGATACACACGGAAGGCAGGGGGGTACTACAACTACAACAACTACAACAACAACTACAAAACAACTACAGCTACAACTATATGACTGCAACTACACTACACTAATTACATTACACCACAACTACAACTCCACTACGCTACAGCTACAACTACAGTTGCAGTACATCACACTACATCCAGCAGTTGTGGGTGAGGTGACCACTGCAACCATTGCAACCACCCCAGCAAACACAACTCCAACCACTTTTCGGTCAATCAGTGGATTCGCTCTGCCATCCGTGATTCACAACAACCAACGTCTCCTATAGGTTTCCTATTCTGAAACTTCCGCCACCGCCTTGTGCGGTACTACTGGTATAACAACAATAATAGAAACCTCATCTCATGATAACAATAATAGTAATATTAACCGAAGGAAGTTTAGAAGTCAAACTTCTGTAACATGGACAGGTTAAAAAGCAGAGGTGGGAAGAGTCAGAGAAGAGAAGAAAAGAGAAAGAAGTCGCGAAACACTGTGTTTTTCAATGTTTTGGGGCTCCGGAGGGTCGAAAAGTAGGCTCGCTAAAGCGGCGGGTTTGGAGCCATCTGGTCAGGTGAGAGATGAAAAATTGCACGCCGTTGTGGCACGAAGCACATTTCGAAGTCAAAACTGCGAAAAACTGTCGGGTTCGGAACACTTTTGGAAGTTGAGATGTTGAAAAAGTGCACGGCCTTGTGGCGCGAAGCACATGTCGAAGTCAAAATGTGAAACGCACCACATGCTCGGACCACTTTTGGAGGTTAGAACGTGGGAAAAGTGCACGGCGTTGTGGCGCGAAGCACATCTCGAAGTCAAAATGGCAAAAACACGACCTACTAATACTAATACCAATACTACCACCACCACCACCACGACTACTACTACTACTACTACTGCTACTACTACTACTACTACTACTACTACTACTACTACTACAGCTGCAACGGCTGCAACGGCTGCAACAGCTGCAACAGCTGCAACGGCTGCGGCTGCAACGGCTGCAACGGCTGCAACGGCAGCAACGGCTGCAACATTGCAACTTCAACAACATCAACTACAGCTACAGATACAGCTACAACTACACTACAAGACAACTACAACTACAGCTACAAAAACAACTACGGTTACAACTTCATAGCGCTGCATTACACTCCACTTCATCACACTATATACACTACCAATATACTACACCATGCTACACTACTCTATAGCTACAACTTCAACAACTACTGCAGCTACAACTACAACATTACAACTACAAGTACCACAGAATCAACCACACCTACAGCTACAATACAAGTACAACTACAGCTACAGCTACAACTCCTTTACACTACACTACATTCCACTTCACCACACTACACTGCCACTGACTACGCTACACTACAGCTACAGCAACTACAGCAACTACTGCAGCTACCGCAGCTACAAATACCACATCACGACTAGATCTACAACAACGTCAACCACACCTACAACTACACCACAATACCAGCACAACTGCAACTACAATTACAGTGCACTACACTACACCACACTACATCCGGCAATTGTGGTTGAGGCAACCACTGCAACCACTCCAAAAAACACAACTCCAACTCCAATCACCTTTCGGTCCATCAGCTCTGCCACCCCCGCATCACAACACCTCACTTCTCCGATGGGTTCCTATCTCTGAAACTTTCGCCACCGCCTTGTACGGTAATACTGGTAATAATAACAATGATCATAGATGGTGACCTGCATTGTTGTCTGGAAACCGTGCCATGTCCAGCACTTCCGATGACGACAGCTCCGATGGCGCCGCTGGCTCCCTGGTGCGTCCCGTCTTGGTCTCCGACGCAGCGCGACGGGAGCTTAGGGACAGCCTCAAGGACGCTAGGAGATGACTAGGAAACATGGAAATTCTAAAAATAAAACTGGAAAAACTCAAAAAAACTGCAGTTTTGGTAGCTTAATTGCTGATTTTTGGATATTTTTGGGCTATGTGTTCAGTTGAAAATGGAGGAAACAGCTAAATGCAGTGAACATTTGGTATTTTCTGATAAATTATAATCACCTACAGCGAACCCGCATGAACCATACAGATCCTTATGCCTTTACTTATCTTAATTTATGTGCCGTTGCTTGGGCGAAGTTTGTTTTACAGGTTGCTGGCTCTATTCAGGCCACATTGCCCCAAACCTGGCAATGTGACACTTCCCACCTGCTTATTTGAAGCTTATGGGTTGTATCTGAGACACCGATGGGAAGAAGAAAGGAATATATTTGCATGTATTAATTGTTGGCGATGGAGAGAGAAACTGTTGGTAGATGTTGGTAGATGTCATGGTGATGTTGACCTGGTTACTCACATCAGCATGTTGTTGGCTCGTCGCAGGAGCACGGCTTAGTGCTGGAACGTCGAAATGGCTATGTGAGGTGCATGCCCGTTTAGAACTAGTGAATCCAATGTTCAGTGGACGTTTGCCGCATACAAGTTTGGTGTAAAGGCCATCGACCACTAAATTCATCCAGATTAGTAGGTTGAAAGGAATTTTTCCCGTTGACGTCTGCAATTCGTGTGAGAAATTGTGAGTCATCTGCAGGAACACTGTAAATTATCGGATCCAGCAAGGAACTTTGGTGCACCGTTCAATGTCAACTGACATGGTGATCAGCTGTGATGTGATGTGATACCAAACCAGTAATTTATAGTAATTTATATTATAGCATCATGGTGATTATTGGTTGGGTGGCTGGGGTGCCTGGTTTGGATGGGGATTGGTTCCGGTCTCCAGCAGGCCCACCAAGCAGCTGCCTGGTGGTCAGGAGTGTTTTATCAAACATCTGGGTGAGTGTGGCGAGCCTCGGTGGGAAACGGGTGGAGAAGATGGGTTCCACATGTTTTTGAAGTTTTTGAGCAAGGTAGAGGTTTCTTATGGTTTCTTGCTACAAATTTCCCTGGGCTAGCACATGCAAAGATGTATCCACAGAATCATTCTATTCAAGGGGTCGCAAAAAGTCTGGCAGTTTTACAGTTTTATGGACCCAACCTCTGACCGCAGAATGTTGCGTGCGGAGGATCAGAAGTGTGGCAACTATCGTTTGGGGAAGTTTGCTGCAGTGCGCCCGGACTTCCTGAAGTTCTGTGTGGAAGCTCGGATGCATTGCATGGGCTTTGGGATGGCCAAGTGCCAAGTGAATGGATGCTCACCACCTTGGCAGTTTTGAAACATTTGGAACCGAGCCGTGCTGACAACGTCGCCCTGAGGATTTCATCAAGCGAGCGAATCGGAAACCGCGGGAGTTGGTGTACTGCTCCTTGGCTGGCGAATTGACATATGTACATCAAAGTTCAACCTCCAAAACCCATCAGCAACGCAATCATATTGGCCAAGACTAGAAATCGTTTAAGGCCGTGGGCTGATAGCCGCTGATAGCCAATGCTGCTGTCAAGTGTTCGAATGTGTTCGACCAACTGATCCAAGTCACCTACTAGATGTAATTTGGGGCATGAGAAGTCTAGGAGTCAACACCTGAGGCACCAGTGACAAAGGTGTGATAAGACCTTGTGTTTTGAGAATCATGACCCCTCTGTGCTGCCCATGTGCTACCACTTTGCTGATTGATAATTGATAATACGTTGTTCTGACCGGAAAGGATGGTACGCTTGCTGGCGTCAGGCTCGCTGGGCAGTGGCCAGTTGCTCTTTGACTGGCAGCTATTGGAGACCTTGACACAGATGTTAGGCTGCAGCTTTCAGTGACCCACACAACTGTGCAAAGATACACCATGATACACCCCTGAAGCCTAATGAATATGGAACCTGAGAATTATCAAAATAGCTTTGAGAGTGAGAGAAGATGATTTTCCGATTGCAAATTTGAATGGTCCGTTCATCACGCTACGTCTCAAGGATGCATTCAAAACTTGCACCCGGAAGTTTACCAAAGCAGCTGGCCAACAAGATCCGCCTCCATACTGGATGTTTTATGAGGTCATCAAAGTAGTGTGTTCAGAATTTACCCATCAAACAGCTAGTCAGAATCATGCAAGAGTACCCAGCTATTCTGATTACCTCAACTTCAGAATCCAGCCTGTTTTCTGATTGCAGCCAAGGTGCCATGACCTAAACCTTTGACCCACCCGCAGCCAGTTTGTTTGTTTCCTCAGTGCTTGGCTGGTGGAACCCATTTAAAATGGCATTGGTGGAATCCCCAAGATCCCCAGAATATCAAATAATATCAAATACTCTCCCAGAAAACCAGGTTGAAAACTCGGATCATCTTGGATCTACTCATTTTGAGATACGTCTAGAGTCCAATATGGAGAGAATCGACGCATGACGTAGGTCATATGGCTGGGTGGGATCATATTTCCCTCTGATGCCAAACAAATACCAACTTCACATCATCGAAAACATCGACCACCATCTCACTATGGTCATATAGTACATGATCATGCATATATCATTCACAGGGATTTGTATACCCATCGCGTTAGGATTCCCATGGGATGGATAACCATGGATAACCCATGGCACATCTCAGGAAAGAAAACGTGCAGCTCCGTGCTGTGCATCTCATTGACACTGCCTATGGTGGGGAGAAGTACCGTAAGAGCGCCGTGCGCGCGCAGCGGCTGTTTGCCGGCTGGTTTCAGGAACCTTGGCCTGGAAGATGGGAAGTAAGGGATGTACATTATGATGGTTTCTGTTTTGTTTGCTGGGTACTACAAGATATGGAGGTAAACCTCCAAGTGGGAAAGCAATCCAAAAATAACATGTTTGATATTATATATATATATATATACATCTGTGAAATACGTATATACAATTATATGCAAATTATGAATGGAATATATGTATTTTGATGCAAAATGAACAAACAACATGTACTGTTTGCATTGACTTTTGGAACAGGCAATCTTGTGCAAGAGTTCACGCACGCGCAGTGGAAAACATGATTTGACTTTGGACAGCCCAACTAAAAGTAGAGGGACGGTGTCAGTCAAAGGACAGTAGAATTGCAAGAGATCAGCATTTAACAGATGAAAGATGAGAGTTGCTGCTTGGCGATGGTCACGACATTCCTGATCTCTGCCTGCGTGATCGTTACACTTGTGAACTGTTAATGTTGTACCACCTAGCTGGGTTTGCCCAAGAATGCTTAGCATTTTGAGGTGCAGTTTCCCCCGGTCCGCCAAGGAAAAAGCCTTCGAAGGAGGGCCATGTCCTGTGCGAAGCTTCCTGACCGCCAAGGAATTTGAGATGCCTGGCCCGTGACGGCGATCCTGGTGATTTTGCTTTGGGGATGCCATCAGCAATTTTGATGATCAGTTACACGGACTCGAAATAGGTTCAAAGGACCATAAAGGACCATTGACTACGAGTGACTAGAACTGCCCAACTTAGCTAGTGGATTTTTGTTTGTGTTTTCTTCGCTTTATATCTATTTGGATCTATTTGGGATCTGAATTGAAGATATTGAAGCAAGTCTGCCAGGGTCAAATACCTGGCTGGGTGCCCTCTTCCAAGTTCTCGACTCTCGACTCTGCTAGCATGAGTTGAATATATGATCCAACGGCCAACCTAAAGAAGTTATCATGGTGATGTTTGTTGGGAATAACATTTCAAAATCTACATGTCAGCCAAATTAGCTTTAAAAAAATACATAGCTGGGTCATCCCATACTCCACATCATGTCAACCTCGGATTAATGAACCTTGGTTGATCAACTAATATATCAACTAGGTAACTATAGTAGGCTTATCCCAACAAATAGTCATTCTCAGCTACTGCTAATCCACCCAGCCCGCCGTCAGGAAATGGTCCACGAAGCATGGCGAGCAGGTGGACGTTCTGCTGGACTGCGACGCGGTGAGCGCGCGCAAAGCCATCGACGTGGAGCACTTCCGGAGCTCGGTACTGCGAAAGGGTGCCCTGGTGGAGACCGGAGACCGATGTTTTTTAGTGGATACCCATGAAATATCATGAAATGATATATGGAATGGCAGTTGTAGTCTATTTTCTTGGGGAAAGTGATGATAAACCGATAAACCCTGCGATTTTGATGGATTTGGTGGATATCCGGTTTTTGAGACAAAACCAGTTGGACGACGAAAATCTGAGGGCCAAGAAAAAAATATAAAGCCGATTGGTTTTGGAATTAAACATATCAGTCGGGAAGAGCATGCAGAAAATCGTAGAAGCACTTGCCTACCATTCATTTTTTCGTGGTAGGCAAAAGATGCAAAGGTATAATATTTTGGTCCTCATAGTCATGATGTGTTGTGTTTCTTTTGCATATGCATAATACGATTATGTATATATGAGTATGTTTGCTTAGTTGTCTACGAGAATCAAGAACCTTTGCTTCTTCGTCTACTGGAATCTAAAGATACCATGGGATACCTATATGACAAGAGTTGTTCCTTGGGGATGGTGAAGTTGCACGACGATTTGATTATGTTTGATTGTCATACTAATACAAGCGATCCTGAAGCGATTCCTTTTACTCAGTCATGATTTTTCATGATGTGTGTTGAACAAATGTCCGTTTAAAATAGCCCGCAGTTTTGTATTAGAATATATTAGAATTTATGGATTCATATTTCATGATATCAGTGTATATGTGCAGATTTTTCTGTACACCAAAAGCTTCATGTTGCCAACTGGGTCTCCACGGGCTGAGCTTCCACTTTGAGCAACTTGTCAAGGTGGGATTTGCCTGGAATCTTGGCTGTGGAGTGGCAGGATCTCATGGATTTCAGACGTGATGAAGATTTGAAAATATGTTGGTTTCACACTGGCTATGGGCTATTATAACATCCAATAACATCCAATAACTATAGGTATAATTCCCTGGCTACTGGATGCTGGTGTCATTCGAAGATTGGTCTGGTTTGAACGCAACCATAAACTTCTGTGTTTGTTACTGTTTGTTTGTTGTTTTTCAGGCCAGATATTTCACCAAACATATAAGATCATATAAGGCCATAGGGGTGTAATCACAGAGATGACACATGAGAAGTGTAACCCATCAAGCCTCAACCAGGTCGTGTTGGCAGATTGACTGCAAATCAAGTCTGAAAAACCCTGTTTGATATCCAAAATGTTTGGAAATCATCATATGTTTGGCTACTTTAAGATGTTTCGCGCAATCTTTCACAACAAGCATTCGTTTGGTTCACGCTCCACTGTTTGTCAGCAAGCTGATGAGGTGTTGTCCAACCCTGCGAAGCGGATTTGCATCCAGAAATGCCAGAAGAAGGCAGCGATCTGATCCCGTGATCTGCATCCCCAAAAATCTCAACATGGAACTCCAAAATCTCAAGAATTCACTATAGGAAAATCATGTATTAAGACCTCCTGGAACCAGGTTCCATGAAGGTTCCATGTTCAGGTGTTGACGGAGCTCGTGAAGCAGGCGGGATGTGGCATGAATGCATGATACGAGGGTATGGTTCAAGAGATGCTTAACCAAGGTTCTAGATTAATACATCTACATACTACTGATGTATATTAAATTATATGTTATTTAATTATATATATATATAATTGTGAACTTTATGGCTGAATATCGTAGAACGTCCATGAAGATTGACAATGGTCCGGGGATTCAGGCCCAGCCCAACAGTACTTCACAGTATGGGCAGTGCACCTGCGATGATCCACATGGCATGAGGGTGTTGAGATCCTGGAGCGGATTTCAGGTAAGGACATCCCACTCGGAGGATCTCAGAGGCACAGATCGACATTAGAGACATTAGAATCTAGAAGACGAATCTAGATATTATAGATATATATATAGTATATATATATATACAAAGAGATAGATAGATACGTATATAGATTGTTCTAGATTGACCAGTGCGGAAAAAGTGCACAGTGGCTGATGGGCAATCAAGCTTCTTTATCAGTGACCTTTTGGTTGATTTTATTATACCCATTGAAAATACATGAAAATATGTTCCTCACACACATGACTGGCTGGACATTTTCCGGTTGTTACCCTTTTGTAGATGATTCTGATGATTGTTCCAAATCAGCTGGGGGTCACAGCTAACTTCACCCCAAGGGCTACCCCCACTATTCCTCTATGGGAGGCATGCTTGGATGTGGATCCCAGCGGGTACATAATACCGTGCAAAAACCATATAACCCATTTTAGATATTCATTGTTTGTTACCACAGTTTTTAAGATTTAAGGTCACAACATGCTATTAACAACCTTCAAACCATGTTTTCTGTTGGATGAACATGTTGAAGCCCAATTTCTCCCAGATGATACACCCACTTCGGTTGCTTAAATCCTCTCAGTAGCCCTGCCCCCATAATTTGGTTGATATTGGTAATTACAAACCATTTATTAGCTAGTTTGATATATCTACCATAAGCCTTAGTCAAATTATAGTTAGACACCAACTCAACTCACGAATTATTACATCGCAGTCGGATTATTTTCAAATCGAGTTAGATATTCATTTATGGTAGAGATTGGTTATTATATAATGGATTTATATCTACTCTCTATTTGTTAGATGGGCATCACCCAGCAGGTGTACAAGGACGGCACCTGGCACTTCCGCCACGACCCACCGGGTGGCTCCACCGAGCGCCGGGAGCGCCGGCGCTCGCGAGCGCGGGCGCGGAAGGGCAGCCGCAGCCGCAGCCGGAGAAAATGCGAGAAATGGACGGCTGTGTTATAGTATATTTAAATAGTATTAAATAGTATGATTATAATATGCCTATTTTATGGCAATTACCTAGAGATTTCATGTTTGTTGTTCTAGTTTGATGAAATTTCTAGATACCGTTTGGTCACAGAACGAGGTATATGGGGGGCATAGAGAACAATAATACAACAACAGGAATAAATCTGATGATATATACAGATTTTATACAAAATATGAAACCAATGTGAGACATGGAGTTGGCGTTCTTTTTTTGAAATTTCAACATGTTTCAACCCTATGAGGGTGATTCAACTGACTGATAACTGATACGTTTTAGGGGGTTTGAAACCGCCAATTAGGATGGACAACAAGAACAGCAGAACGAACGATGCGTTTCACTGACTATGTATGGGAACAGAAAGAGTGAGTCCCACCACAATCTGTCAAGTCTTCAGGTGGAGCTTCAGAATATCTGTGGCTGTACACTGTACATGGAGGAAAGATAATGATAAACCGCCTGTGTACTGTAAAACTATGATAGCAATACACAAGTAGTACAGACGACAGAACATCATGGCAAAGGAGTAATATATATAATATAGAATTACCCCCAGCAGGATAGGATAGCACAATAGTACTAGGTTACTAGATAACGGGGATCATTCATGAGCAGGGTATCAGAAGTCAACCATATAGACGGGAGAACTTGCTGACACCTCACCACATCGAGCCAAGGGAGCTTTGGTGACATACTTGCCCTAGGCGGAGCGGGTGGATTTCAGGAAAGATGAGGTGGATAGAGCAATGACACAAAAACAATTGGGAACAGGACACTAGGTGCTGAGCCTTTGGGTGCTCAGATGGCTTTTGACACAACCATTCTGGAAGCAGCTTGTGGCATCGGAAAGTCGCAGCCAAACTCACATAATCTTAACCTTAGTTCTATAGATTAATAACCCCATATAACCCCTGATTACTCTACTTTGGGAATGCCCTTGAGATAGCAGATGATGGCCCTAGGAGAGTTGGAACCCCCAGTCCCAGGCATGATTTCCGCCAGGTCAGAAAGGGGCGCGGATGAACGGGCGCTTGACGACCTCTGAGACTTTCGATGCCTGGGACAATGGTAGCCATGGTCAACCCATCCACAAAACGACCTCTTTCTCCATGACATGTGGAGGAAACTTGCTGGTTCATTGTGAAGACATGGACGCGCAGGCCCGCAACATGGATCAAAAGACCATTTTGTGTAGATTGTGCCAGGAGATGCCAGGAGGTTAAGGGATAACTATCAATGATGGCCGTGATCAAATCTATTTTTGTGCTCTCTCAGTGTGGGCGGTGGTCGCACACCTGATAGACGTAGTGGTTGCTGTTGCAGGATTGATATTGGATTGCTGCCGCATGTTAAGATCCACACCTGGGTTGCTGAGTTATTTAACCTGCGTCAGAAGAAGAAATAGACGAGTTTTGATGTTCATGGAGGGAATGTCGTTCGGAGATCGTCAAGAGAGGGAGAATCGATTGAACCATGGCGAGAATCTTGAGGATTTCTTGCCACGGCACGCTATGAACGTAATTTTTTCAAGGTCAACCAGTTTCTCACCACGCAAGTCGCTATGTGGCTTGAAGGCAAGGTCTCCAGTAGTCTGAGTTCCTTTTCTGGAACATGGGGAAACGCAGAAGAATTAAAGCTCCTCAGCTTGCTGGGTTTCTGAGACCAGGGCACTTGAAGTCATGGCTCGCGTGGTATGTGTTGACCAGGTCAGCAAATTTGAGATTGGCTCGATTTTAACTGGCGCGTCGCCACGCAACAAACAAACAAAAGATATATCGGGACTTGCATATGCAACATGCACAGACAGGCAAGAAGATAGAAGTGTTATGCAATTAGTGTTGGAAGAGCTGCATGCCGCAAATCCCTTTGGCTTTGTCCAAGATAATTAGGAAAACAATGAATCTATATATCTATTCCATCAAGATATTTGAGTTTCATGTAGCATGCCGGCGCTTGGCACGGTTGTGGTTGGCATGCACTGCACCTGCTACCTGGTGGTGCTGTGCGGAGTTCAATGTTTGTTTCGAATTAGCCGGATTTCTTCCAATAATTATCCTTTTCTCTTAGGTAAAACTGATTGATGAAACTAAGCGATTGACAGGCTGCAGCGGGTCCTACCACCAGTTGGTTTACTGTGGTTATTGATGGGATGGGTTGAAGCCGCCAAATCCAACCGTACTTTTTCCTGAAGTAAGAAAAGCCATGATCATATAAATCCGATCGGTCTGGGGTGCAGTGCGGAAGTCTATGATACAACTGTTGCTTGATGCAGTGAAGCCATTCAAGGGCGAAGTGGTTCACTTTTGGAACCAGCCTGAGTGGGTAAGAAAAAATGCTGAGCGCATTGAGTGCATCCTTTCCACAGGCTGAGGTAGGAATAGGAGTAGGTCATTTGGAGATTCTGCCTGGGTACTTAAGCATTTCAGATTGATTTCACATTATAACTACAGAATACATCAGAATACTATATATAATGAATATCATATGCATGTCATGTATTGCTATATTTGAATCTACTGTAATTATTTGATACGTTTTAATGGGTAATTGCATTGACCATCATAAGTAGGGCACTCATTAGATATTCAATCCGCGTAGGGGAAGCTGTAGAGACTGACTGCTGTGGTTCCTGATTTGTAGCAGTACTTGCTGGTGGGAAGAGGCAGTCCATTTCAATCCCATGTTGAAATTCCAAAAGAGAGAAGATAGAGAAGGTTCCAAAATCCAAAGCCATATTTATAACTGGCAAGAGGATGCAAGAGGCCCATTTGAATGCAAGCAGTGTGCACTCAAGCCACCAACTCATGGCATTTATGATGAATATGTTGGTGATCACTGCTGCATTGTAGCACGGTAGGCATAGACATAAATGTGACAATCGTAGTCATGATCTCATCATCCAAGTGGTGCCCTGGAGTTTCAGGCGCAGATACCCCTAGCATCCCCTACCATGTTTTACGATTTATAGATCAAGGCCAACCCATCACTGGATCTCATCACTGGAACTCCCCAAGTTCCGCTCCTGGGTCGCCGGGGGTCGCCGGGGGCCACCGGGTCGCCATGGCTTTCCGTCGCGCCACCCATGGTTGGTCTCCAGGTGGCCCAGGGGGTGCAACCCCAATCCGTTGGCCGGATCAAAGAGGCCGTTGAATCATGAATTTGGTTCGTATCCCCAAAATATAATATAATATAATAGATGTAATAACGCTTGATACTATAAGACTATAGTGGTTGAATTATTAATATTGATGGTTAAGACTGTAATGGACGATAATGGTAATTGGATAATAGATAATCCCAACAACCCCCCCAGAAACCATGCGTTAATAGGAGAAACACATCTTTGGAACCATACCATGCGGGTGTGGGATGGGATTACCATGTTTATATTGATGTTTGCTGTCTTTATTTGAAACCCTGCTGCAGGATTGGGAGCCTCTTTAAGCCCATTGATGCCAATGATGTGTCCAGGCATATGTATTTAGTTTGCTTGCGAATTAGTTGTGGTCTTTTGGCTGGCAATTTGACATAGTCTCAATCATCCTCACCTGGACCAATGATTCCCGATGACTAACATTTTCACCCGGGTTGAACTCACCGACCACTGTAGAAAGCAAAGACATTGAGAATCCAATTGTGAGACATCATGAGCCCAGAATTAAAATTGACAAAAGATGACCTCCCTCCAGACTTCCACCATGGCTCAGTGCCCAACTAGTCCTTGTGACAAGTGGACAGGTGCTGGTGTTAGTGATACTGCAAGCAGCGGTATGGAGCTGAGTTTGGAGCTGGTTTGGAAGTTTTTCCCAAGCGGAAATCGCCATTTATGGGTTTCAGCTTGGTTTGAGGGGGATAAACTTTTCACTTGAGACCGGGGATGAACGGGGGTGAGCCTCAAAATGCCACCAGTATGCTAGGTCCAAATCATTTTGTCGCTGAGGGCAAGACTGGTGTCATGTATCAAATTTGGCATGATCCAATCCAAACTGGCTCTTGTATTCTTGTGTTTATCAAATGCACCGGTTCAAGTTCCAAACAGAACGGTTCTCTTCTGTGACTGCAATTGCCGGAGGCTGCAGACAACGGAACCTGTGTGGATCTATTGTCGCTTCCGCCCGAAGACGAGTCGGGGAAGCTCAGGGGAAGCAGTTGAAGCTGCAGGTGGTTGGTGGCTGATTTTGGGAGGATGGTAGACTCTGGTAGACTGGTAGACCATGGCAGACCCATGCAGACCCCTTTGTTTCAGAAATCACACCCGCCGGTCACAAAGAAAACCTGACAAGGATGTTTCTTGAGCAGTACCAGTTGGATCATTCTTTTTAAAACTCAACGGGCCACAGACGGCCACAGAGCTATGCCTTTTTCCATGGACTCGTGTCAGCAGTTTGGGCAACCCATAGTGGCCTGATGATACTGTGAGTTTCTTACGCCCAGCACCTGCATCGAAACAGATCAGCAAAGCACATGAAGGTAGCTGCTAATCCTGTTAAATTAAGTTTTAATAGAGGCCCAAAATGTCCAAATGACCTGGATTTCATCAGTGAACTTTGGGTTTTCAGTTGTGGTGTTCGAGCCCCCCCAGCATCTGTCACCACCATTCGCTGGAGGTCGAACCGATGCTATGGCGGGGACTGCAGTTGTCAGATCGCCGTGGAAGAGGACTGGTTGCTGTTGATTGGTAAGTCCTTAACAAGCCCTTGGGGGATCAGCTTTCGGGAGGGCTGGTTAAATCCCAATCTCCATGAAAATGTTGGAGGCTGAATCAGCTAGGAAGGGTTGCTCAGAAATGAGTGCTCAGAAATGGAGAGTTTTAGCAACGAAATCGATTGCTTTAGGGGGTAGGCTTGAATGAAAGTAAATCATCATAGCATTGGTAAGCCCGAAAATCAGCATCACCCTTACATCACACCTGGTTTTTCTCCCATGTTCATCCATTTTCCTCATGTTCATTCATTTTCCTCATGTACTCTAAGCGTCACCCCTTCTCTCACATGGCCACCGCAGCAGCCGCAGGTCATTTGGCTGGTGCTGAAACCTCTGGAAGACGGATCGGCCGGCATCGAGCTGCTTGGACCAGTGATTTTTGGGATGCTGATTCATGTGAGATTCAGTGGTCATCAGCGTCATATCATATCATATCATATCATATCATGTACATATATATATATATATATTAGTATATAAATATATGTGTGTGTGCTCTTGTTTCTAAATTCAGAAATGTTGCATAAGTCATGTTATTAAATTTTCATCCATTGGTGGCAAATCGCTTCCACCCAACCATAAATACCAGAAACCCTGGCTTAGTACTTCCTGGATGCCTTTCTTCATTTTGGTTATGGGTCAAAATTGGGTACCCCAAGAATTATATAGAGTGAACATACTACAAATAGATTTACAAGACATATGATTCAGATATGATATTAGATCATTATCCCAAGTGTTTGATGGTTAAAATTAAAACCATTAGGTACCCCAAGAATTTTGATGGTTAATACTAATATTTAGACATTAAACATACTAAATTCATCTAAAATATGTGGTCCCTTTCAATTTGCTGTTTCTTTTGGGGAGGTCCATTCTTTGGAGCCTCAGGCGCCGCGCCAGAGCCTTGACCCCAACGCTGGGTCAGTGGATCGACCACGGCTTCGCATTTCTGGAAGGCGCCTCGTGGTGATGTAAAATTGTTATGGTATGGATGGCTGATTTATAATAGATACACTGATGGTTTACCTATGAAATCCTATGAATAGCATGGTAGTTGTCACAGTTCACTACGTTGGAATTACCGGAGGGTAGTACCTAATCTTTCAACAGAGCTGTATTGCTATTGAGATGTCCCGCCTACTGGGCACATGAGTGAGAGAAATGAAGCAGCTAGCAGCTGGTTGATACCCTTGGCTCCTAATTCTCCTGTCTACCCTGGTGGAGCAGTGTTTTTTTAACTGGCCTTTAGCTTCGCTGAACTCTTCGAGAAGGCGATGGAGAGAGAGAGAGAGAGAGAGTACCTGAAAAATAATTATATATAGATATAAATGATATAAACCTGATGAATTGGAGATATCCGATATCCTATAGTTGTGCAACTGGGTCCTAAGCAGCTAAGCTGGGATGGACATTTTGCCATTGGGTGTGGGTTGTCAACTCATGAACCAACCAAGGGTTCCGCGTCAATTGAACCTAGATCTACGTTTGGATTCCCATAGGTTTCTTTGTAAGACTCTATGCCTTCAAAATTTCCTTCTGTCAAACGAATTGTCAATTTGATGCATTTTTGGACTACTGGACAAAGAATGACAAAAACACGATGAACCATCTAATCTCAGAATAGCCGGTTTGATGCAATTCATCATCCAGTATTTATCAGTGGGTTGTGAAAGTTCCTGGTATTTTGATGCTTAATTACTTCAAATATAGGCGTGCATCAGATTTGGGCAACGAAGCTAGCATGTCTCCAAGACCGAAAGGAGTGGCACCCTGAGATCAATCCTTGGGGCTTTGTTAATGTCCTGTCCCTGCAATATTCTGAAGTAGGACTGGCCCCAGACATTCTGATGCTTTTGGTCCTCAACTCGAAACTCAGTCCTGCCAGGTCGCGAGCCTTTGAATGCCAGCGGGCGCCTAAGGGACAACGACTGGAAAGTGGCCCTGCCATGAAACGACCCTTTTCTGAGCCAAAAAAATAGCAACGTCACCAGAAAAAACTTCACAAAACCAAAACTCAGAACCCATGATGATGAGGTTGAGACCTCAATGGTCGCCCATCGGCTTCTCACGTTATTGATGCAAAGATCAACTAAGTAAATCTAAATCTATAAGTCTATAGAATACTAGTTGTCGCAAGAATTTTGCAGATTCATCAAGCTGAGCCTGGCTGACGTTGCCCCAGGTTTCAGGGCCTTGTGGCCCCACCTGGCCCACAACGCCCTTGTGCTACAGCAGCACTGTTTGATCGCTTCAGAGCTGGCCATGCTGTTGTGGTGCACGACCCCAGCCCGGCCGTGGGGGGGGACGGTGCCTGGCAATCAAATGGCCATTGAGGCCTGTTATGTACCAAGTCATGTCCATGTCTTAAGGTAGGTATGTCAGATATATCCAATTCTTGCAGTGTAGCTCAGGCTATCCCACAAAAATGACCAGTTCACTTAGGATGCTTCTCAACTGTTGAGCTAATGCCTCCGCCGTAATAAAGCTTCAAATAAGTCCGAAAAATAAATCCAGTGCTGAGTGAGAGTTTCTCGGGGATGTTTATCAAGAGGTGTACAGTGCATAGATCAGTCATCATTTATCAACAACTATGACCAGTTTCCATCTCATTATCTCACCTGGGACGACATTCATGGACGTTCAGGTCGGTGGTTTCCGCGCTGTCCGCATGCGCTCTGGGCTACGTTCACCAAGCTGTGGATGGTTTGTTCATTGGATTGGTTTAAGGGACATGTTGCAGGGATTACGCCAGGTTTTAATAGGAAATTCATGGTGTCCTGCAGATTTTGACGGCAACTAGTGCGAATAAATCTGACTTTGGGAAGGTCTTTAACTACCTTGAGGAATCAGGTGGGGAGAGCTTCATGAAACGCATGAAAGCAGAGTCAAAGAATTCGTTTGGAGGACGCGGTATCAGTTCCGGACATTTGAGCAATGAAAATACATTGTGGCTGTGTGGCAGATCGGAAACCAGCTGGATGAGTTGGCCTACTGGCGTTGCTTCCTTGCAAGTTTCTGCCATGTTCTGCAGCCATTGGCTAGTGATGGCTAGTGACTAGTGTCACAACCTGACTATGATGAAAAGACGCACTTGGCTGGTCACTTGTTGTATAGCCCTCGCCTTGTGGCATGACTTCAGCGTGCGCCACCTTCAATTCGTTGGAGGCATTCACAGGGTACCGCCGCCACCTCGGCTGGGTCAAGTCAGGGCAACATCGAGAGAGTGGGCTACGCCTCAGGATCTTACTGCCAGGATATCAGACTCCCCCTCTGCATCTGTAGTGCTGGAAGTCCTGCAATCCCAGCATGGCAATCCAGACCTTGATTTGATTTGCATTGCTGCTGCTTGGCTCACCATTGCCAAGCTGCAAAGAACTGTTACCCCTGCATTGGTGGCAGATCCTTACTGGCAACTGTTCGTAGAGAGCACACGTCGACTTTTGAGGCTGACGCTGATTCAGGACCCTACCAACTCGCCGAGGGCATGTTCAAACCTGTTTTGGGCTGCTGCCAGTCTCAAACAAAATGGCTTGCTGTGGCCATGTGTGTCTGAGTTGGAAGAGGACTTTGCCGAGGGGGTTGTTGCCACCGCCTACTTCATGAATCGTCAACATGTGGCAAATGCTGTATGGTCATGTGGAAGGCTTGAACTCAGCAGCTCCGCGCTTGAAAAAGTCATGAACCCACTCATGAGTAGGCTTCCCGATGTGGCGGAAGAGCTCAAGCCTCAAGACTTCGGCAACTTGTTGTGGGCCGCCGGGAAGCTAGGAAAAGCATCGCCACAGCTTTTGGAAGCTATGCCATTGCTGGCAGAAGTGATGCCAGATCAAATCGATACCTTCGGACCACAGGATGTCTCCAGTATTCTCAAATCGATATCCATGCTGCCCGCAGATGCCTCTGCTGAGTTGTTGGGGTTGGTCCCACGCTTGGTCAGCCAGGCTCGTGAAGTCCTTCCTCACACGACTAGTCGGCAAATGGCCCTTGCCTGCTGGGGCTTGGCTGTATGTGGCCATTCTGATGCTCAGCTGCTAAAGTTATGTCATTCGTTGAAGGTAGCAGTAGTACCCAGCAGCAACACGCACTAGTATGAATTTGTCTTGTTGCCATGATTGGGAAGTAGGCTAGCCTGCACATCGAAGGACCTGGAATTCATGAACTCAATCGAGAAGATTGTCGTGGCTAACAGTGATCGGTGGCAACCCAAGTCTATCGAGCTTGACTTGCCGCAAATCCTGTCGGCTTTTGCCAGACTGAAGGTCAAAGGCCAGCTCAGAAACTGGTTCTTGCATTTGTTTAACACTCAGACATTCATGCTGCCTTTAGTGTGGCCCGCTGGTGAGTAATCCCTTCCTCCTAATACTAAACCACTCCCCCAAATAATAAACACTTGAGGTAGTTTTTAGTATTAGGGGGGTATTTATTATTAGGGAACCCTATTAATAAAATTAAACCCTTAATAATAACTAGTTTTCCCGATCTCAAAATCAATTAAATTTCCTTATATAACGCAATTAAAATATTAAAATATTGCCAAAAATTGGATTTCGAAGCGGGCCCTATTAATAAAATTAAACCCTTAATAATAAAAACTATTTTTTCCGATTTCAAAACCAATTAAATCTCCTCATAACGCAATTAAGATATTGCCAAAAATGGGTTTTCGAAGCGGGCCCTAATAAGAAATTAAAAGCCCTAATATAAATTACTTTACTTTACTTCGTGTGATCCCCACCATGACATTTATACATTTTCTTACTGGCAAATCTTCTGGCATTCTATCTGACATATCTTCTGACATTCTATTTGACATTCTATCTGGCATATCTTCTGGCATATGATCTGGCATATCTTCTGGCATTCTATCTGGCAAATCTTCTGCCATTCTATCTGGCATATCTTCTGGCACTCTATCTGACATATCTTCTGGCATTCAATCTGGCATTCTATCTGGCATATCTATCTGGCATATCTTCTGGCATATTTTCTGGCATTCTATCTGGCAAATCTTCTGGCATTCTATCTGGCATTCTATCTGGCATATCTTCTGGCATATCTTCTGGCATATATTCTGACATATCTTCTGGCATATCTTCTGGCATATCTTCTGGCATATCTTCTGACATATCTATCTGGCATATCTTCTGGCATATTTTCTGGCATTCTATCTGGCAAATCTTCTAGCATTCTATCTGGTATTCTATCTGGCATATCTTCTGGCATATTATCTGGCATTCTATCTGGCATATCTTCTGGCATATCTTCTGGCATATCTTCTGACATTCTTTCTGACATTCTTTCTAACTTTCTTCTGCACATTCTTTGTCCCATATCTTCCTACATGAGGTCCGGCAGGGAACACTTGGCGTGGATACTCGCGGTTGAGGTCCGGCCGGGAACACTGGGCGTGGATGGTCGTGGTTGAGGTCCGGCAGGGAACACTGGGCGTGGATGGTCGTGGTTGAGGTCCGGCAGGGAACACTGGGCGCGGATGGTCGTGGTTGAGGTCCGGCAGGGAACACTGGGCGTGGATGGTCGTGGTTGAGGTCCGGCAGGGAACACTGTGGATCGCGGGTCGCAGTTGAGCAAGGACGACGAGGACGACAAGGACGACAAGGATGACAAGGAGGACGAGGAGGAGGAGGACGAGGCAGGAGGAGGCGGAGGAGGAGGAGGAGCAGGAGGAGGAGGCAACTGACATAAAATCTAACAACCCTCACCTGGCAGGTGGGGAAAAACTAGAAAAAATCGGACGGACCCTAATAATAAACACCCCGGGGCGAACTAGTTTTTATTATTAGGGGGCAAAACCCACAAATGGTAGCTTTATTGTTTAATTGTTTTCTAAAGGGGATCAATTAAAAGTCAAATTGGCCAATCTGAAATTTTCCGAAATTAGAGATGGACCCTAGTTTTTAGTATTTGGGGGACGTTTAGTAATAGGAGGAAGGGATTTGAATTGTGTACTCAACGAATTTCCATGACAATGAGAGACATCCTTTGGAAATATGGTCGTGCTGAATGCCTTAGTTTGTTTGGTTGGTTCCTTCTTGATTCATCTTGAATACCTGAATGGGGCTTGAGATACCTATAGCCAGACGCCTCACAAGGAAACACATAGAGAACACAAGCAAAGTGTGGACTTTATTGGTATGACTTGGTAGGTTGTGCTGATATCCAGCGTGTTGCTGCCACGAAGCTCCAGCCCATCCTCAACAAAATGAATGCGTGGGGACTTTGTGCGCTTGCATGGTCCTGCAGGCAGGGTAGGCACATCCCAGGCCCTTTTGCCTTTTTAGAAGGCCAGTTTTCTGCGATACGGCCGGCACCCCCACCAAGGGGATCCAAATGCACTTTGTCAATCTTTGTCATACTTTTCAATCTTGTTCCGTCTTTCTCAGTTTCGCATAGCGCCAGCTCGGCGGGAATCAACCAGATTGCATGAAGGTCCTGCGATTTTTAACGCCAGAATTCAGACCCAGTTGCTGCAGGCAATTGGCATCGTCAGACAGACAGCCGCTTGGTTGCGCTCGGTTGCTTTGGTGCTGCTAGGTGCCATGGGCGACTCAGATGGGGAATGTCAAGCCGTCAGGCCAGATAATATAATTATACATTGTTGTGCTCCGACTGTACTTATTGGCATAGAAAAGCGGGGTTGCCAATTAATGTAACGGGAATGAAAGGGTGCAATGCCTTGATGAGCCGCCGCGCAAGCAGCATGAACGCCTCAGCTCCTCATTTGAACTCCAGGTTTCTGGACTTCTTCTGCAAACGAGTCCAGGATGCAGTTGATGCGCGACGCCTTTCCCCGGAGGAAGTGGAACACAGCCGCCTTGGTCCTGAAAAATGGTCTCAACGCCCACGCGGAGCCAATAGGTCCAGACGCTGAGTGGCGGGTGATTTTGGGAACTTGTTTAAAGCTGTTGCTTCCATAGAACATGCGGGTGTTGGCCGATTTGTTGACACCTCAAAAAAAAGAAGCTATTGGTTTATATTGGTTTCCCATTATATGTTCAAGTTTTCCCCCTCAATGAATCTCTTGATCCGTTCCTTTACGGAGAGTAGCTGATGCCAGCACCGCATGTGCCGCATGTGGCAGCCAGTTTTGAACCATAGCTTTCGTGAGTGCCGCGCGGCTGGGGCCAGAGTGCACACCACAGCTCCTTGAAATGTGGTGGTTTGGGCACCCCCTGGCAGCGTTTGGCACCCGAACTTTGGTCAACGGTTGCTTCAATAGGCTGGTTTTGATCTAGGTGCTCTAGAGGTTGGCACTCCGAAGTTTCAGAAAGCAGATTGCTGGTCACATTCACCTACTGACCGGCTGAAAATAAATGAAAATAAGACATTTGATCTGGACTAGGATTTAGAGTCTGGAGGTAAGAATTGGAGATTTGTATATCAACATTTGCGGAAAGCAATTTCCAATTCCACATTGATGTTCTATTTCAGTGCCAAGAGAGCTGCGGATGGGAAAGAACGGCGTGTATTGAGAGAGCAAGACCTTGGCACGCGCCCTGTTCAAACAGGAGACATGCAGCAGCGCACTGTGTTTCAAACATTTGGAGGTGGATATCTCATTATATTATGCCTTTCTCTCGGACGTTTGCCAGGCGCTCTTGGTTCACCACTGGCTGCAGAGGAAGAGTTGGGCTGGTGGGAATTGACGAAATATGACTATAAAGGGGCCGGTGTGTTTCAAAAAGAGGAGGCATAACGAGATACGAGATATCCTAATTCATGGGCCTTTGTTACATGTGTTGTTCTGGTAATGGAGAAAGACCATGGAATTTGGACTTGGGGGGTTCCAAATTGTGAGACGACCCTAAACTGATTATACTATGAGGCTCAATGTATTTGGTTGAAGTTTCACTACCTACAGATCATATCCCCGTAAAGACTATCCCAGCACCACAGCAAAAAACAGGGGTTTGGTTTCTGGGTTCCATGCTCAGTTTTCAGGAAGTGCTCATTCTTTCGGGGCTGCGTCTTTGATTGAGGGTTGAAGTACCACCATTCGGGTCAGGTTCCTTCGAGCCAAGTTGGGAGGGTAAGGATCAAAGCCCTGCTGCCCAAGTTGCCATCCCCAAAACGAATCCAAAAGACCATAATTAATACATATAATGTCCACAAAAATATCCATGTGAAACTGTGCAATCCAATGTTTTTTGTTCGATTTTGTTATTCTCATGTTGGATCGTAATTACTTGTGGTTCAGGGTGTTTAAGTTTGACCCAGAGCCACTTCAAGTCATGTGAACTTCGTGAGGCATGGGAGCCGCACGCGCCCAGCAACCCACGTGTAGAAGGCGCCAAACGCCCTAGGCCCAGCGGACATTGAAAAGGCATGGATCAGAAATCATCAGAGATTTGGTCATATCCTTCTGTTTGGTGCAGTCCCGAGGCATGGCAAGGAGCCAGTTTTTCTCATGTTGTGCATTTACAATTCAGAGTTATATCATGTTATATATATATATATATATATCATTATATATCATTATAAATGTATATATATATATGTAATGTAATGTAATGTAATGTAATGTAATTTAATGTAATGTAATGTAATGTATGTATGTATGTATGTGTATATATATATAGTCTACGTGCATATTTGGCCTTTGGATGTTAGCTTCCTTGGACCAGCACCAGCCTTAGGCCCTAACCCCAGCGGTCCTTGTGGGATCATCTCGCTGCGCCCAGGTGCGCTGGTCGCCCTTTGCCACGACGAAGATTTGCAGCAAAGGCTGGTGCCAGCTCCTGAGCTCCGTTGTGGGTTTGGTGATGTTTGATAGTTTCTTACTGGTCAGAGATGCTGATACATATGATCTTATATATATATATATATGCACATAGAATAATGCTTTGCCGTGTGTTTCGAGAGCATCTGAGACGATGAATGATATTTAAGGGGAAATGGCTAGTGGATCATTATGGTATCGATTTGCCACACGATAGGGAAATTGAACAACCCCTATGGCAAAGAATCCATTGTTTGGTAGGGCATCTACTGTAGGACCCAGGATCAACCATCGACTGGGTCGCACATATGACCAAGAGGGGAGCACTTTGTACCAGCAAGGTTTGGGCAGTCATACCTTTCCCAGATCTTTGGTGGTTGCATCCCTATTTTGATTGGTCCTTTCTTTATGTTTCATTCTGAGCCATTGATTTCTAATTGATTATTGTCTATCCCTTCACATAGGATGCTTAACCACAATGTCTATCTACTTATGGGCTTTGTTTGCCACCCTCCACGGCTGTCCTAGCGAGCCAAGGCGGAACTTGGTGGCAGGCAGTGAGGGGACCATTTGGTCCAGGTGCCTGTCGCTGGGTTGCTTCTATGGAAAAACATTGGGAAATCCCTTGGGTTTGTTGCGACCCTTATACTGTACATACATGATATAAATGGATATACATGTAGCATAGTTTTTTTGCCAACTTTGGTCAAGCGGTACTGTTAGTTTTTGTGCTTTCATTCCCCCACCAAACAAGCCGTTCAAATCGATCATTGACGCATTCTGGTTCCCGGCAAGTCAGAGATGACAATCTCCAATCTTCATTTGTTGATCATCGAATCTATCCGGAAATGGATGCAATCGAGTGGTTGGGCCAGGCCGTTTTGGCAACCCTTCTCTTCCACGCAACCACTCAGAGACGCCGTGTGGCTACACAGTGGTTGGCAGATGGTGCGGTTATGCTGTGGCGGATCATAATCCAAGAAACTAGCATAGATGTGGACAGGATTGGACATGGTTTCCGAGGAAATGATCCATATTGATGTTGCACTTGCCAGGGTTAGATGTCGCCTCGGGATCAGCTGAAGCTGATTTCTTAAATATTAGTTCCATGTTCGGTACTGGGTCTGTGAGGGCCACCAACTATGCAAGTACCAGCAATTACCAGCAAATGTACAATGAAGCTATTGGAAAGAGCAACCCTTATTGGCCTCGCCCAAGAGAAAATAGATGGGTGTGCTTCAAAATGGGGACCCTACCAATATCAAAACTTGGGGGTTCAGTGGGGTTTCCCATGCTTTTCAGACAACCCCCTGTTGCACAGCAAATGCCCTGGCCAATGGCCATACCGAGGCCCAGTTTGCTGTGGCCTCCAACGATGCGCCAATACCGTCCCCAGGGATGACCCAGGAATTGGTGAGGCCCAGGGAAGGGCCTGGGGGGGATTGTGTCAGGGGTTGGACGACAAATGTCAAAAAATCGAGTCCAAAAAGCTGGTTTGGAAGGTGCATCGCAGTTTCATGCAGTTTCAACAATGGGTTGGATGCGATTTTCAGATATTTTCAGATTCTCCGTTTAGAGCAATTGTGTGGATCCAACCTGAGTGACTGAGCGATTTTGTGGGTTGATCTTCCAAGCTTTATTTGGTCGGCTGAAAGTTTTTGACAGGAATATGTTTTTTCCCATCAGGACATATTTTTTGGCCTTGTGTTCCTGTAGCATGTCTCAACAAGCGAATCCAATGAAAGCCCTGCCGCGTCGCCACGACTCATGATCATCATGATCATGATCATGATGATGATGATGACGATGACGATGATGATGATGATGATGATGATGGCTGGCATCTGGATGCAGGCAGGCTTTCTTGGATTTCATGAGCATCGTCACTGCATTGTTCGAAGAAGTGTCTTGGCATGCAGGTTGCAAATGCAGACGAGCTTTTGAGTTTTCAAAATTTGGTCCTACCAATTTTACCTCTGGAATCAATAAATAAATAATATATATAATTTTATATAATATAGTTTGAAGTAGGTACTGCAAGTTTTTTATTCAGTAAGTCGTCGATGATGTTGATGAAGGTTTTATGGCCACATATTTTGTAGTGACCAAATCAAAATCACCCCCTTCCAGGAGGGGCTCCCTGGTCCTTGGATTCCGCGGCAGCTTCTTCCAGGTTTGGCCGGATGCCTGGACAACCGAGAAGGTATTGTGAGGCGCTGAGATATTTAAAGTTGCAGCCTACTGAAGGGATTTATGATGGGAGATTATTTTGAGGTGTGCGATTCATTCGATCACTCTAAGGGAAAGTGTAAGGAAAAGGGGGGAAAAACGTGAAGGCTGAAATGCATACCCGTGTAACATTTCAAGCCGTATAATGGTTCCAAACGGGCTACGTCCAATAGGACTATCAACATCGATCAGTCGCATCAAGTCATGTCGAGGAAGATGATTTCCGGGGAATTCAGTGTCACATAAAGGAGGTAACTTGAGGTACAGGACCCCTGAAAAGGTACCTTGGCAATCCCTCCTATCGCCCTGGTATCTCCAACAGGATTCAACGGTGGAACCTTTCCTGGATTGGCCCGGGGGATCCCCATACAGGAATGAAGAGCTGTACTTTGTTTCAAGGAGGTCCTCCTGTAAATTACATAGACATAAACCGTCCACTATTTTTCCTCCGTGGGTTTTCGACATGTTGATATATTTTGGTGATATGTTTCATTATGTTTCCCTCCCACCCGCACTCCAGTATTGTGTGATGCTCGTATGCCCCCGAGGAATCCGGAGGCTTTACCCTTGTTGGACGATGGACACACAGGCCGGAACCTTCGGAGGGCTTTCAGCCAAGCCTGGTGAAGATGAGGAAAGCCCAACGGCAAAGCACATTTGGACTATTTGGGAACATTTTATAACCTTAAAGATGAGCTGGAGGAAGAATTATTTATTGGTATAATATAAAATAGGTTTGCCAGCTTTGCTTTCATATGAATATTACCCGGTATTACCCCATTGCCTGTTTTCCAGTTCTTTGGTGTATTTGAGTGATGAGTTGCTGTCAATCTATGTCACCACTTGGGATCCCTAGAGGTTGTTCTTCAGCTTTCCAGCATGGCCAACGGCCAGGGTGCCATGTGCAGTTCTACGTGGCGCTTGGCGTGTGAAGCTCAAGCTCTTTCGGCTCGGGGGGAGTGGAAAATCGTCAGCCAAGTTGTTGTTTCTGAAGTAGGGACCCCAAAACCAGTGCTTTCCCTGTTTGAAATGACTAGTCCTCCATTTTCGGAAACCTCCAAGTAAGCCCCAAATATTATGTGAGCAAGAGGCTAAACTCTCCGTGTAGGAGGTATGTATTCGAGCGATCTTTCATGTAAAAATATGCATTTTGATATGTAAAACGATATAGTGAACTCCCAAAAATTTAAACGATAACGCGGGAATCATATCATATGTAAAAGCATTGTGGGAAGTGAAGGGGTGGTGTACATGACATGATGGTGGACACCTGTTCTAGAAGCATCTAGATCATCTAGGCTCTCAGTTGTGGGGTATACGTCATGACCAGCTCACACAACGGAAGGTGTGCAAAAGTATGCTGACACTCTTGATCCTGGCCAATTTCTTTATTTCTGATTATTGCAAACAGTTTTGTATCCAAACAAGTATTGCTACAGTATGTGGTAACTAGCTGGATTTGGATGGTCTTTTTGTCTCGCCATTGTTCAAGCCTTCCGGATGAGCGTTTTGTATTTTCCCGCTTTCATGCAAGCATTGACGATGACAACAGGCCTCCTTTCCAACATTCCTTGGTTCATGCCATTTTCCAGAAATGTTTCCCTCTTTGAACGATAACGAAAACGATAACTAAACGATAACCATTTCTTGACAAAATGTCCTTCGCTGATGGATGGCCCAGATGCGAAAAGATTCTTGAGATGATTCTTTGCCGTTGAATATTATCACTTGCTTATTGCGATCGTTTCGCTGCTATGCATATTCTTTTGCGGCGCTCCATTGCTTTAGTCAATCCTGGTTCATCTCGGGCACACCGGCACACCTGCACCTGCAGGTCCGGTTTGGCGATCTTTCTCCTAGATGAAGATAGCCAAGGCAAAAGCATTGGACCATGGTGATGGTTTGCTACCCAGACGCTGGGGAGTGAATGAAAGGCATGGAGCATGTCGCTGTGAGAGCTCATCCAGACTTCTTCCAACAACTGACTTCAAACTTGTTTCTGAGTTTGAGAAAGGATGGTGCAACTGTGATTTGCAGTTGCATTGACAGGTATCATACCATACCATACAGTTGGAGCGCTGCAAAAGAAAGCGCAGGGCAGTCAAACATGCTTCAGACGCTGAAGTGGAGGTGTAAAAAGGCTTTCCGCACGCAGTTTGCCAGGGGATGCAAATGATGCAATCAGGATATACTGTAAAACGATATAGCGAACTCCCAAAAACGATAACTTTGACCCGAAGATCGCATTTTTCAATTGAGGTTTTGCCGATCGCTCATGTGTATATTATATATATATATATAGTTATTTATTTATTTATTTATTTATTTATTTATTTATTTGTATATGTGTGTGTGTGCGTGTGTTTGCGTGTATTTATCTGTGCGTACATTATTTCAAGTAAATGTGCAAAGGACATATATAGGTAGGCATGGTTTTTACCATAGGCAAGCTCCAGCCAGGCAGATGGGTTGGAGAAGGTCCAGATGGTTGCGCACTACTTGATCTCCCACCAGTGGTCCTGCTTCGTCACAGGTGGGTAACCCCTGTTGCTTCGGAGTGAGATGAGTTGACTGCAGTTTCATCCACCTGCTATCTCCATTCGGCTTGGCCCCTCCAGTGTGATGCTGTTCAATTAATGCTGTTCAATTAATGCTGTTTCAACTTCTGGTTCGGGCGTTGAGCGAAGCATGCAGGCATATCATGCTCCCATTGAAATAGGTAATTACAAGCGTGTAAAAAAAAAAGTTGGATTTAGTTTCCGCATCCCCATGTCACTCCCCAAAGCATTGGGCATTTCCAAGCTTGATGAATAATTTGCGCATTGCTCTGACAAACCGAAGGGGTGTTCCTTCCGGTGTTGCCATCCCTTCCCCCCAAATGATACCTTTAGACCATGCCTCAGAAAGCGCTGACACTTTTCTCTCAAGGCAGCCTGGTGCTTAGCTAAATGTGTGGTGCCAACATCTTTGTCACTTGAGTGTTCTGCCCCGACATGTCAGGTGACCCGGAACACATGCACAGGTTGAGCTAGAAGAAAATTGTGTGAATTAGACGGCCTTGACTGAATCTCAAATGGGGATGCAGCGAGAAGATGGCATAGAACACAACCCGGAAAGACAAGATGCTGCACTTACCATCCGGTTTGGATATCTGTATCCAATAGTTTGGCAGGATTTGCCCCTTTGACTCCAACCAGGTCGACACCCTCTGGCATTGACTGCGTAATCTACCAGCACAGCGCCGCCCTCCGCTTCTGTTTGAGGTGCAGTTGCGAACCTTGGGTTGGTGGCTGAATGGGGTAGCTACCAGGAACCATGACAATGTCTACAACTCTCTCTAACTGTATATTATATACTGTTGTGATGAGTGTTGCAACATGTTCCAACACTTATTATTTCCTGTGATTCTGTGGCAGTATGTAATCTTGACGTGTGATCCAGCTTGGTTATGCCTCGGAGCAGCACGCTTGGAACTGGATGATTTCCCCCACTGCAATTTGCATCGGATGTCCAATTGGAGAGGACCCACCCCAAAAACCAAGCGTTTGGATCAATCAGTGACCAGTGCAAATATCCAGGCACCGATGTCTAGATATGTCTAGATGGTCCAACATAATCCCATCGTCATCCTGCAGATTTACGAGGCACTACCTCATCCTGGATGATGGACAGGGCTACCTGCTTGATGATGACTCTCGTAGGCGCCCCGAGCAGAGATTGCAAGGATTCAGGTACATACCGCTGTGGTCCGCCGTCCGATTGGTACCCCATGGTCGGCAACGCCCAAAACCATCCAAAACCAATTTCCACCCGGAATATTTCACAGCGCCGTAGGCCTTTCCAGCATTGGGGCGGTCTGGTGTTGGTGCACTCAGCTGTGTCGCTTTTGGGGAAGTCACGCTGCTTGCCCGTTTGGGGATGGATTCCATGGGGGCCCATGAGGTTCCATGCGGATCCATCGGGTTCCATTTTCAACGTGGTGTGGCGTTTTTATTTCCAATAGATTTTTTGGCGCGATGACAATGATCAAAATGACAATGATATAGTTCTTGAGCTGTGGAAAGCGTTTGAAACTGCAAAGTATTTTTAATCCACTGAATTCTTGAGGGGGACGGCAATGGGTGTCCAGGCAATCTTGCCAAAAACATCCAAAAACATGAGGCCATTCCATTCCACCTGAAATCACCACCAACGAAACCATGGCAAAAACATTCAAAAAACGACACCAGACAGACAGACAGGCAGACAGACAGACAGATAGACAGATAGATAGATAGATAGATAGTGCTTTGCCCACATGTTGCACGCCCCGTCAGCCCCATCTCTTCCCTAGGCCACGTGAGCTCCTCAGCAGGGACCACTGCCATGAAGATGTGGGTGCCCTGTGTCCTGGCCTTTGGCTCAGTTTATCGTCAGGGGCTTCACAGAAAGATGGAGAACTAAACTCATTTCCCACATGTTTTACTGTTATTTGTGTGTGTGTCTGATTTTTTTTCTGACAGCTACTACCGTACTCAGGAAAAGTTCAAAGGAATATCCCTAGGTAAGTAGCATTTGGAGTGAGGAGCCGCGGTTTCCTTCAGATTCTGGCTTAGACTAGGCCAGTGATTGGTTGAGAAATTCAGAAGGGCCCCTCCTTATTCCAGTGCTTATTCCATCCGTGATCACGGGCAGTGCAGCAATACCTTGATAGTGTACTCGGATCCGGTGGAGGCCCACCACGGGCCACAGGGGGCCACCAGAGATGCCTAGTTTTCTGATTGCGGCTCCACGGACTCCACGGGCACCGGATCTCTACGGTTTCGTCCTTCAAGAGTAGGAATGCTAAGAAGCGTTGGTTTCCCCATTTCGCTCTTGGGAGATTAGCGCAGACAGAATCTGCAAGATCTATTGTACAGATATCGCCATTGCGAAGTCCCTAGCTAGACTTGGAGCCTCTATTTTCAATCGACGTCCTAGGACCTGCCATGACGCTTGGATGCATACATGGGAGATTAGAAAAGCCAGTTGGATTTGGTGTGGCTCGGAATGTTTGGGAACATCCGCATTTTTGATCATTTTTGTTTCTTGTGGGGTAAACCTTCGTTTGGTAGGTTGATGAGCCACTCTCCAGCAGGGCATCAGATCAGCCATGATTTTCCTCGGTGGAAAACCCCCAAAAGTCGCTGAAGTCTCCAATGGCTAGTAGTCATTTTCGTCATGACATGCCATGACCATTGATGACCAGCATCCTTTGAGATGTGGGATTTGTATGGATTTGTTTTATCCTGAAGGCTTCCGCTGATCTATCTTGCCTTTTGTGGAAAGTACAGCTGGAAGATGCTGAAGCCATCTGAAGCCGGACTTGGAATCCCGGATCTTCAAGGCCCATGCTGCAGCCACTAGTGCCGAACAGCCCCATTCCGCGATCAAACTTCTTCCCCATGGTTGCCACAGTGTCTGACCCGGAGAACTCACAGCACTCGGAACGGGAAATTGAGATCCGCAATCTCAGTGGTGAGGTGCTGTGCACCTTGTGGTCGAAGGCCTTGACTCCAGAGGACCTGAAGGTGGATGTACATTCTGCGACGGACATCCCTCCGTCCTTCTTTGAGTTTGCCCTCATGGACAATGACGCCGCTACCATCATCTTGAAAACCGACTGCCCTTGGGATATGGTCTTAGATTTGGCCGGCCGGGACCTCGAAGGGGAAACCTCAAGATTGACCACCAAGATCTTGCAGCTCTGTCAACATCAAGACGTTGCACTTGAAAAGCATATGATTGAGGCCGGGGTATTCCATTAAATGGTGATTTGAAGATCTTCAAATTTCTCCCGCGCGTAGGGTAGACAAAGTCCCCAGCCCTCATAAGTTGAGCCTTCATTGGCCTTGGATCAGATAGTGGTTTTTGTTTTTGGGGGCAGCCAAGAACTGAAGCAGAAGAATGTCTCAGGCCATTCAGAATGGTGACGAGAAGATGGTGGAAGTTTTCTTAGAGAATCTTGGTGAACAGTGACCGGCCAGACTTGAGCGGGATGGAGTAGAATGGTATACAAAGTTTGCCAAAAATAGGGTTCCCGAAATCGGTTTCGTTGGCATTTAATAGCTGGCCGATGCGTTGGAGGTAAGAGGTTTGCCGATCACATCAACAGATGGCATGTTGAAGTCCGGAACATCTCAACACTGACCAAGCTATTTGAAACTAGGGCTTCAAATCGCAGCAAGATCACAAGCAGATCCGTGTGACACAGCATGATCACCATATATATATATATATATATATCACCATGGCACGCCCTCTGCCCCAACTGCAGGAATGGTTTCTCGCCCAACCATCCTGTGTTGCCGCTTCATGTCTGTGCAAAAGTGGGTAGCATTGAAACCATGCGCGCTCTCCTCCAGGCCATTTGTGGCTGCATAGATCTTTTGGTTCAGTCCTCTTTTGTTCAGTAGTTTGGACATCTTGGAAGCTATATATATATATATATCTATCTACAAATAGTTTCAAGACTTTATATGTCTGTCAAAGTTGTTTTATCCCGGAAAGATAATAGTGATCGATAGTCGATAGTGATACATAATATGATTGACAATCTCACTCACGACCCGATGCATTGGCAATCATTGGCAGAGTGGCTTCTTTATGATCTGCGGATTGAGAAGCGAAGATGGGTGATGATGGGTGGCATTCACACCTCCAGGTCTTTGCCATCAATCTCTGTGTTTTGTGTACCTGTTTATATGTTTTATTATTGCGTATCTTATGTGTGTATATAAATTCTTGCACATCAATATACATCATCTTTCGTACAATGCATGAAAAAATGTACAAATATATATCATTATATATTATTGTGCGCATCAATATACGTCATTTTTCGTATAGTGCATATAATTATATTTGTGACTACATATATATATATATATATGTTTATATGTTGTGTTCTTGTGCCATGTAATGTATGTACATGTACGGAGTGTATATCATTGGTGATTTCCAGGCTCGCGCCGAAGTCAACGTCCAGAATTCCGATGGTGACACCCCGTTGCACTTCGCGTGCCAACGAAGAGACGCCACCTTCGCTGAGCTGCTGCTGAACCAGGGAGCGGATCCGTGGCAGAGGCATCCTGGCTGGGATGGTGATGTTTTCGAAGTGGCGAATGGAGGGAACAAAGGACATCATAATTCCTAATCAAATACGACGTGTTTTTGCTGCACAGCCAACTGTCTGGAAATCCAGCATGCCAGGCATGGACTGTTTTCCGGTTTCATATTGGAATATGACTGACTATGTTCCTCATCAAATGGGGAGCCAAGAAGCTACTAAGAGTTTCCCAGCCACCTGATACTTTTATTTTCCTAATGGTCCAATGGGAAATCCACCATTCGATGGAGAATCTATAGGGATTCTTTTTGAGGTGGCCTTATCATCACCCTTGAAACAATTCCAAGGAATGATCTGGGAGAGAGGCCGGACGTTCATTTCGAGGGTTTCTTGGATTTTCTGGGTGATCTGATGTGCTACGCTGTGTGCATCTTGCTAGGTTTTTTAAAAATATTGTTCCACTGTGGATGTGTACTGGATCGAATTTTTGAGAGTTGCCGTTCGGGCATACGGCGTGTGATTGGCGGGAATACATGACGATGTTTCGTGTTGTTTTTCTTTCTTTGAACCACAAATGGACTATATCAACTGTCGACCAGTGAATATTGATTCAAATTGTTACGGATTCATGTCCCCACCGTTTTTTTGGTTCTGTTCTGTTCTGCATCCTCATTTTGTCCTGCAAGCATGCTGTTACCAATAATGCAATGTGTACTCATGTGGGCCATCATTTCATCTGAATCAGAACCAAACATGATTGATGGGTGTCCTTAAGTCTCTTGAATTGTGCTGATTCTGTATGGATGAACTGTAGCGGGCTGTGAATTATTTACATTGCATTGCTTAAACCTCCAATGATTATATACGGGTTTGTTTGAAATTTGGGCACCCAAAAACCGTTAAACCCCCATGGTTTATCAGCATGTTCGCCATTGAAACAGCAGTTTGGTTTTGTATGTTTTTTAAACCCAGATGCTGACCCAGATATCATATGCATTATGTGCCCCATCTATTATTCCACCAAATAGCCGTATGTATGGTTCCAAGCGCCTATAATTGTACAGAATATATATAATATTATATATAATATAATTATTTATATATATATATTTAAAAAATATTTTTGAATATAGATATATATGTGATGTATGTGTGTGTATGTATACATGTTTATTCAAATGTGTGACATAGTTTTGTTTTTTTTCTGGCTGGTTGCGCCATTGTTTGAGTTTTCAAGCAATTATGATATTTTACATCCCCATTTGAGACCTGAGGCTTTGAAACTGATGACTCGGACAGAGAGGAACCAACTGCACCCTCTGAGACTTCCTCAGTGTGCAGCCTGGGAAGTTCCCCTTAGATCGTCTTAGCTGGTCACAGTTTTTCAGCTCCAGATCTGAGGGAGAATTAGTCAGGGAAGTTGAAGTTGAAAGTTGGATCAACAGAGATTTGCCTACCTTCGCAGATTCCTGGAGAAAAAACTATGCCCTTTTCAGGACTTGGGCGCCTGAGCAGGCCCTTGGCAGAATGATCATGCCGTGATAATGACAAGTTTAAACGTTTTCCGTCCCTTTGACGTGGACCCCTGCGTCGGGTGAACTGGGGGCATCCTAGCCCTGGGTGTTTCTGAAAAATTAGGGAGTACGTACATCCCCCAAATGAACCAGTGGATTTGGGGCACCCTATTCAATTATTCTCACGCAAATCCATATACTAGCACTCACTAGTAATTAATTATAATTAATCTGCCTATAGGATTCCTATGGGTCAGTTCAAGGCTTTTGCGACAGCTACAGTCTAAAAAGGTCATTTGAGGGTGGCCAAAGACCCCTTCAAGTGGCATGTTGGACTAACATCCAGTGGTGCAGTGCCTCCGATTCATTGCCGATCCAAAGTGGTGGCGCAGAGAGGCAATGGTGGCAAAAACATGCTGCTTCAACATGGTGGGCAGGGCAAAATGATGGAACATCCGATCATTATGCTTCACCTGACAGCGCCTACACATCAGGAAAACAACCATATATTACATTGCCCAGGAGGGATAGATAATAGATGAGATGCGCCCCACTACTGGGCAGTTTCCAGTCTGTCGGATGTTCCATCCGCAGTTGGGAGGATCGAACCCAATTGACTGGCCCATTTGTGTGTGTGCCTGTGGGATGGGTAGAAGCGGCCAACCAGTTGTTGTTGTTGTTGTTGTTGTTGTTGTCGTTGTTGTTGATGATGATGATGATGATGGCATTCCTATTCACGCTCGAGAGAATTCATACATCAGTTCTTTTCAAAAATCTGAGAATGCTTGCAGGTATATTACATAATATAATAATATATATATATAACGAATAACGTGCATGATATTTTGTTATTGTTTATGTATACATATCCGCCCTCTTTGTCCGCACAAATCGTGGGTTTCAGCCGATCCATGCTGAGCGGCCCGAGCCAAGGCTCCAAGCAATGCGCGGCTTAGCTCCAGGTTGCGGGGGGGGAAATGTGAGGTGCATGGCATGTTGGCTCAGTATTGTCATTATTTAATATTATGTGTTAAGTTTATTGAATCCCATCCCCCGTTCATATTAAACACCCCGTTCTATGGTCCCAATTATGTGGAAATCCCCTACATCCATCTACATCCACCCTGGTTTCTGGGGGGTGTAATATTAGGGGGAAGGGATTGTTCAAATTGGATCCTTGACTACGCCAGAAAATCTATCAGAAAATGATATCCACACACACAGATGTATGTATATATATATATCCATCATCTAATGAATTTAGGTCTTTGTGTGGATCTTCCTGGCGGAACCTGACTGATTTATGGGATCAAAGCTATGAGTTTTGTGGAGTAGGAACCAGGGAGCACCAAATGCCAAGGAAATGCCATGCCCTGGGCTGCAAACCAATCACTTGCGTCGTGCAAATGGAACTACTCGATTGATCAATATTGATCACGTACAGTGGGTTGGCTGATAGCCCCGAGGTATCCCGAGGTTTTATGGCTAATATGGGATTGTTTGATGCGAATTTGCATCTTAATTTTCTTGTGATCTTGTTGAAGGGCATTCAACATTGGCAGTGTTTTTGGTGGGCTGTAGGAGTCTAACATGTTGCCTTGATGCACCCCGCCGTAGCCTCTTCCTGAAACGGGAAGGCGGCAGGGACCCGGAAAGGAGCGTGCTGTTTCCAGATGTGAAGGACATTCAAGGACTATTTCATGCCATGCTGTTCGGATGTCGAAAAGGTAGCTAAACAGTTTTACTAAACACAACAAAACAGATGATCTTCCAACTATGCACAGGTTAAACTAGCCGGACAGTTGGCCAGCAGACTTTAGAGCACACATACTCTCGCCATCACTCAGCCAATCATCCTTGTGTGATCTGGAGTGCGTTTAGTATAATGTTGTACACGCAATGTCACTGGCAATATCACTGGTGTTCTATTTTCATGTTTAACGACATATGCTGTGAATCCAGCTATATCCAGCTGAGTTTTCACAATCCAACTCCGAGATTTCGTCCGCGCCATGGTCTCGGTCTGAAAATTTGCAGACATGAGCCGGGGGGCCATAGAGAGGATGCCACGGCTTTAGGGGCGATGTTCCACGCGAAAAATCTATGTGGTTTGGTTCCCATAAGTTATGCATTTGTATTATATATATATAATTCACTGAATACTATGTTGGATCGTGGAACCATTTTTGATTGTAGATACACAATGGCAAACGCAAAAAATTGTATACATTGACATGTGTACATATACGCACACACACACACATGTATGTATTTACCCACACCTCTTTCAGCACTTGATTTAGGGTTGGTTTCAAAGGATTGCTTCCGAGCGACTTCCTTGAGGTTTGCGTCCGTTCTGCTATCTGAGTATTCATTTGTCATCCAGCAGACAGAAGTATAAGATAAGATGTATAAGGTCATATCACTATCATCACATAAGCTTGTTGCCATCATACATGATGAAACTCATCATCAATGATTTCAGTCCATTCGCCGTTGCTGTTCCCCGCAATCTCCATGCTCTTGGTGCGATGTGCTGGGTGAGCCTGTGAGGATGGGCTTATAGTTTCATCGGATCAGATTGCTCTGAAACCTGAGCTACAGTTTCTGATCAGGAATGTGATACCCACGATACCCAAAAAAACAGTTTGGCACTACTCCAGGCAAAATCACCCTTGACATCAAAGCCCGTTGCTGTCACTACTTCCAAACAGACCATTCATTCCGGTGGATTTGTAAGGATTTGAATTTGGCGGCTGCCCAAAATACAAACATCATCGGTTGACAAGAAGATAACAAATCAAACTATGTATATATACATATAGCTGCGTATGGAGGTTTCCGAAAATGGGGTGCCCCAAATCATCCAAAATTGGACAATTTGTGTTTTGAACGCCCATATAATATAGTATTACATGATATTAAATTATATAATATATCATAGAACATGATAAAAATACATTAAACATTGTAAATATATATATATATTACAGTGTTAATATTATATATATATCACGGGATCCAGAGCTCTCCAGACCTTTCCCATGCAGCTGCTGCCTCCGGACCCCCGCGGCCGCCCCCTCCGCACCTTCAACGCCTTCGGTGCGGCGCCGAACGCCGCCCCGCGAAGCGTTTGCGCCGCGCCGAAGTGGCCCGCGGCGGTGGGGGCTAAGCCACTGCGAACGTTGGAGGCACCGGTGGTAGCACAACACAGTCTTTACTAAACCCTAGCACCAAAAAAAAACAAGAACTTGAAACACATAGTTTCTGAGTTCATGACATGGCATTTCATTTTCTTCTATTCTATGTATTTGGTCCCTTTGTCTCCACTACATTTGGAAGAGCTACCCTTTCAAGTGCACTTAGGCATTCTTTCAGACTTTCAGAACAGAATTTGGAATCAGCAAATGCAGGTATGGTTTTGATCTGCCCAAGTACAGATCAAAATTGAACCAAACAATTTGGCACAAACACTCAATTTTTGCCTGGTGGTCTTTTCACGGACACATTTGTCACAGATTTTTCCCTAGTTGGAACCGTTTGATGGGACCTTCAGCGCGGCGTGCGCACAACTTTGCTTTTCAGGTTTGTATTCTTGCTAAGATCATTGAGACAATTTGAGAATTGCGTTCATTTCAGATTGTCGTTCGCGATGTTTGTTTGTTCAACTTCTTGCTCCATGTTTCACAATGACATACATGAGATCCGCAGTTTTGCCTGGCAAAAGCTTTTTTTGGTTGAGCAGATTTCCCATGTGTTTGGTTGGTGAAATCCCCCGGTGTGGGTTCAATCTCAATGTTTCAGAGAGAGAGAGAGAGATACAGGATCATAAAGATTAATTACTTACCAGCTGGAGGAGAAAAAAACAAAATGTTGACTCTCCAAGATTTGGGCAAAACCATGCGAGGCTATTCAAAAGCAGCAAAAATGAGCAAACAACACCTTTGTTCCAGGTCAAATCTCCCAATTTTGGTTCCAGGGCCTCCCCGACGCTTGTGAGTGGGCTGGCCTCTCCATCGACACCTGGGATGCCTTTGCCGAGCAGATCGGCGGTGTGGCGGTGCGCAGGGAGGGTTCGACTGGTCCCAGGTATCGTTTTGGTAGGGAATTACCCTTTGGTAATCAAACATGGCTAGCTGGCAAATCTTCTATAAATGAAGGTTTATAGCTGGGAAAATCATCGAATTCAATGGGTTGATTTTCCAGGAAGCCATGTTTGAGTACCAGAGGGTATGAAATGCAACTCCATGGCGATTTCCGTTTGGGAATGGGGTAACTCAACTGATCCCATGTCCATCCATTTCCTAGATAGGAAGTTTCATCTCTCAGGCCAGTCATCACAGATGTTCACTGGTAATTCCTGGGCAATTCTTTCATTGGCCTGGTCAATCAATCCTGTTTCTAGAAAGATGAGGGATGAAAGGGCGACAAGCATCCTTCCCAGGGAATGCCTCAAATGGCACAGGCAGTGCCAAGTTGTACAAGGCGGTGCATTTTCTAGAAAATTGGTACGGTATCAAAACTGAACCACAAGGATTGTTTCATGCATTTTCTAGACGATTTGGGCTATCTAAAAAATGATAGAACATGAAATAACATGACATCATCCAGATTTTGTGGAAACCTGATGAGATTCCTTACCAACTTTCTACTCAACTCCTAATCTTTGAAGATGGAACTTCTGGATTCATCCATTTGTTTGTGCGATTTTTTGTTTCCGCAGGTCTCTGGGGGAGTATGGTATGCCAGCTTCAGGAGTGGATTTATAGTAAATTCATGTTTTAGAGAAAACAGTCATCACTTTTCGCCTCAGTTTTTTTGAAACATGATTTTAATTTGCTTTTCATGATACTAATCAAAGGCTTTTTCTAGATCGAAAGTGGTCAGTTGCACAACAAAGTACATATGTCCTGTCAAAATATGCATGTGCGAGAAACAAAAAATGCCAACGGTTAGCTGGTTTTTAACCATTTTCCATTGCCATAGTGTGGTCACTTGAGTTACCAATGGCAGTGAGGTTTGGTATTTGACCAGTGGATATGAAATTAATTAATGGAATACCAGTAGTACCGCACAAGGCGGTGGCGGAAGTTTCAAAAATAGGAAACCTATAGGAGAGATTGGTTGTTGTGAATCACGGATGGCAGAGCGAATCCACTGATGGACCGAAAGGTGGTTGGAGCTGTTTTTTTGCAGTGGCTGCAATGGTTGCAATGGTCACCTGGTCGGTCACCTCACCCACAACTGCTGGATGTAGTGTGGTGTAGTGCAGCTGTAGTTGTAGTTGTTGTGGAGTTGTAGTAGTTGTGGTGTAGTGTAATTAGTGTAGTGTAGTTGCAGTTGCATATGTGGTGGTGTAATGAGTGTAGTGTAATGTAATGTAATGTAATGCAATGTGGGGTAGGGTAGTCTAGTGTAGCGTAGTGCAATGCAATTAGTGTAGTGTCGTGTCGTGTAGTGTAGTGCAGTGTGTAGTGTAGTGTAGTGTAGTGTAGTGGAGTGAAGTGTAGTGTAGTGTAGTGTAATTGAGTGTAATTGAGTGTAGTGGAGTGTAGTGTAGTGTAGTGGAATGTAGTGGAATGTAGTGAAGGTCTAGTTGTAGTTGCAATGCAGTGTATTGTAGTTGTAGTTGTAGTTGTAGTTGTAGTGTAGTGGAATGCAGTGTAGAGTAGTGTAATTGAGTGTAGTGTAATGTAGTGTAGTGGAGTGTAGTGGAGTGTAGTGTAGTTGAATGCAGTGTAGTTGTAGTGTAGTGGAGTGGAGTGTAGTGGAATGTAGTGTAGTGTAGTGGAATGTAGTGTAGCGTAGTGTAATGTAGTGTAGTGGAGTGTAGTGTAATGTAGTGTAGTGTAGTGTAATGTAGTGTAGTGGAGTGTAGTGTAATGTAGTGTAGTGTAGTGGTATGTAGTGTAGTGCAGTGAAGTGTAGTGTAGTGTAGTGTAATTGAGTGTAATTGGGTGTAATTGAGTGTAGTGGAGTGGAGTGTAGTGGAGTGTAGTGTAGTGTAATGGTATGTAGTGAAGGTCTAGTTGTAGTTGTAATGCAGTGTATTGGAGTGTAGTGTGGTGTAGTGGTGGTTGTAGTTGAAAATGCTACAAAACCCTTGCGTTTTGCTCACTTTTGACAAGGTGCACAATCCCTTGCGCCTGCCAGGCGAAACGAAATCTGAACCTCCAAAAGTGGTCCGAACCCCTGGTGTTTTAACATTTTGACTTCGAAATGTGCTTCGCGCCACAACGGCGTGCACTTTTTCGACGTCGCAATCGCAACTTCCAAAAGTGGTTTGAGCATGTGGTGCTTTGTACATTTTGACTTGGAAATGCGCTTCGCGCCACAACGGCGTGCAATTTTTCATCTCTCGTCTGGCCAGCTGGCTCCGCACCCGCCGCTTTAGCGAGCCTACTTTTCGACCCTCAGGAGCCACACATCATTGGAAAAACACAGTGTTTCGCGACTTTCCTACCTTTTCGCGCACCTGCATCTTCTTTCTTCTGGCTCTTTTTCTTCTCTGATCTTCTCTCTTCTTCTTTTCTCTCTTCTACTCTTCTCTTCTCTCTGACTCTGCCCATCTCTGCTTTTCATCTGTCCATATTGTCGGAAGTTTGACTTTTAAACTTCCTTCGGTTAATGGACAAATAAATAACTGGGAATAATATAAGTGTTATTCATGGAATATTTGTATAACTGGGATGCACATCCAAGAAATTCTTAAAGTCAATGAGGATGGCTATAGTTTGGTTATTGAGTTCCGCCGCTCAGCATTACGATGATGTGCCACTTTTTTTGGTGTTGTAAATGTGAATCCCACATTAATGGGTATGATAGATAGAATGTGTAACCCATGTGACATGCAAATGGGATTTAATGGGGGTGTAATGTGAGCAACAAAGATGGCAGGGACATTTATCGATCTTTACCAGCCATATTTATGATGGGGACCAATGCGAACTAATGGGGGTAAAACGTTAGCGAAGCAACAAAATGGGGTAGATGATGGCCCACCGACCAGAAACGCAGTTACAACTTCCTGTCACAAGGAGTTTGCCTTGGGACTGAGACTACAACACCATCTAGAACTTCTACCCTCTGGTACTTCAACATAGCCATGGAAAATTACCCATTAAATCATGTGATAATCATGTGCATATAAAGGATTTGATGTTGTTAAAACACAAATCAACCATCCCCCAAATCACCATAAATAGGTGGTATGTTTACCATTCCCAGTCATGGGTGGTTTATGACATTGTTTTACCACCATTGCCATGAATTACCCATATGATTCCCATGACCATGGAAACAATGGCGATCTTCGATTCCCAGTGTCCGACCCAGCCAGGATCTATGGCAATTGGCGCAGCTGTCAGGGGACCAGCTCCGACACGCCATTTCGCAAAGCCGAGTGGCCGACAGATGTCCAGGTGGGAGCCGTTTCCCTGTTGAAAAACACGGGGTCCATACTAAGACTGGCAGTTGTTGTGGAAACCAAATATGTGGAAACCAAACTCTCTAATTATCATGAAATTATTAGTGAAAGTTGGGGAGCGTTTGCTTCAAGTTGGACTTAGTTTGATCTCGAGTGAAGCTGGGGAACTCGATGGAACTGGATTTACCCAAAGACAAACAGGGAAAGCTGCATGATGAGCTTGTCACAAGGGATATGAGCTTGTCATAAAGAAATATAATCTGGCTGACGGTTGCAATAGTTCAACCTAGGATATGATTCTGCAATTTCAATTTCGGTCCAAGAACTGTTGTAGTTCTTGGTGATCGCTTTGTATGTTCACCCCCTGGCCAAATTCATCCAGGTTCTCAGCGTATCTCAGCGTTTAATCCTGGTGTTGGCCCCGGGTCAACATGGCACGGCTGTCTCAATCCTTGGGTTTGTGATGCCATTCCTGGCATGTCATGATAGCAGGGGTTTTGAAGGACACCTACTTGTAGCTGCCTAGCTTCAATTTGCTGGAGTCATACTGAGTCATAGTCATAGTCATAGTACATCCATGTATGAATTCAATCTAAGTGATCGGGGCACATATGACTTTTCGAATTATGCCCTAATAAGAAATGTTACATATCCAATCATATCCAATAAATTATATCTTACATATGAAGAGGGACAGAGAGATATACATATAACTCATTATACGAGTATATAATGTATATATATATATATATGTATAATTGGAAAACATTGTAAACATCTATTTTATATCCACATTCACATTTAATTAATAGTACAGTAAACAAGATGGAAGCCACGAACCCGAATGTATTCACGTTCTTGGATTACGGGCGCAAACCTCTGCAATAGGAAAACGAACCTTTTTTTCACGCATCTTGCGCCCATATCGTCTCAGCAACGGCACCTGATCAACAGTTCACAAAGAGACAACTAACGCACAAAGACACGCATGGAAAACATCGCTTGAAGACACTACATATTTCCCCTGTTACCAGTCTGCAGTGTGGAGTGGAAAGTGTAGAGTGTGGTGTGTGGAGTGGCCAGTACTTTGTACTACAAAGCTTGCACAAAGCACTTGCCAGTACTACTTTGTACTACAAAGCTTGCACAAAGCACTTCCCAGTACTACTTTGTACTACAAAGCTTGCACAAAGCACTTCCCAGTACTACTTTGTACTACAAAGCTCGTTCCAGTATCACTTTGTACTACAAAGCTTGCACACAACATTTCCCAGTATTACTTTGTACTACAAAGCTTTGCCCAAGCCACGTTCCAGTACTACTTTGTATTACAAAGCTTGCCCAAGCCACGTTGCAGTATTACCTTGTACTACAAAGCTTGCACAGAGCACTTCCCAGTACTACTTTGTACTACAAAGCTTGCAGAAACTACTTCCCACTACTACTTTGTACTACAAAGCTTGCAGAAACTACTTCCCAGTACTACTTTGTCCTACACAGCTTGCACAAAACACTTCCCAGCACGACTTTGTACCACAAAGCTTGCAGAAACTACTTCCCAGTACTACTTTGTACTACAAAGCTTGCAGAAACTACTTCCCAGTACTACTTTGTACTACACAGCTTGCACAAAGGCCTCCCCAGTACTACTTTGTACTACCTTCTCAGGCTCAGGGCTACTTTTTACTACAAAGCTTGCAGAAGTTACTTTCCAGTACTACAGTGTACTACAAAACTTGCAGAAACTACTTCCCAGTACTACTTTGTATTACAAAGCTTGCACAAAGTCCTTCCCAGTACTACTTTGTACTACAAAGCTTGCAGAAACTACTTCCCAGTACTACTTTGTACTACAAAGCTTGCACAAGGCCGTTCCCAGTACTACTTTGTACTACAAAGCTTGCACAAAGTACGTTCCAGTATTACTTTGTACTTCAAAGCTTGCACAAAGCACTTCCCAGTACTACTTTGTACTACAAAGCTTGCACAAAGTCCTCCCCAGTACTACTTTGTATTACAAAGCTTGCACAAAGCACTTCCCAGTACTACTTTGTACTACAAAGCTTGCACAAAGTACTTCCCAGTACTACTTTGTACTACAAAGCTTGCACAAAGCAGTTCCCAGTACTACTTTGTACTACAAAGCTGGCACAAAGTACTTCCCAGTACTACTTTGTACTACAAAGCTTGCACAAAGTACGTTCCAGTATTACTTTGTACTACAAAGCTTGCACAAAGAGCACTTCCCAGTTTTACTTTGTATAAAGCTTGCACTAAGCCATTCCCAGCACTACGTTGTGCCCAAGCCACGTTCCAGTACTACTTTGTACTACAAAGCTTGCACAAAGCACTTCCCAGTACTACTTTGTACTACAAAGTGACATGACATCGTGCTTGGAAACCTTCGAAAAGGAGAGGTTTTGCAGCTTCCCCCATAGACACGGCGATGCCACAGGAAAACCAGAGACTCGTGGGCGCAGCAAAACGAGCAGTTCGTGCGAGACTTCCTCCAATTTTGATACTTTGACACGTTATCAAACAGGTTGGAATGTCACAAAGTGCCATGCGTGCCACGCAAAACGACATGACAACCTGCTAGGAAACCTTCGAAAAGGAGAGGTTTTGTAGCTTCCCCCACAGACACGGAATTAACGACGCGACGACGACGCGACGACGACGCGACGAGCCACTCGAGGCGAACAAAGGTCCAGCCCCCAGACCCCCAGACTATAAACGGGAACCCTTCGCTACGCATTCGGGCAAAATGTAGTTATAGTTAGCCAGCATTGATAACTATGTAAAATATACTATATATTTTAAAAATTGTAGCCACTTACATTATAGAAGTTATACTGGCTGCGCTCAGGGCTGGGTCAGCTACCTGGCACGCCCTCGCGCGCCTTCACGGCGACGGAGGCTGCCCAGGCGGTGGAAAGATGGAACAGGAAGACGGGAAGATGGAATAAAAGTTGGCGATGCAGCCACTTCAACCACCCAAAAATCATTGAACAAGTTGATTTAACCTGCTTTAAGGTGCTTCAACCCAACACAAAATGGGAGAATGTTGGCAATATATGTGAGCGTTTCGGACCGAGAAGTATCGTCAAACAGTGCTTGAAGCAGCAAATGGTAAGATGGCGAATTGGGGTTGCGTTCGTTCAAACAGATGTGACATAATTTTGATTCGATAGTTTTTGAACAGTTGTGTTGGGGGTCACCTTCCAACTCCATCGGGATGGAGGTCCATGCTCAGTGTCATGGGACCGCCAAACATGAGACCTTCTGACATAGTGGCACATATCTCACTATTCAATATTTGTTGATATTCGTTGTGTAGTACGTCATCATCCGCTCATTGCGTTTGTTTGGCAGAATTTCCCTGAAAAAACATTGGTTGATAGTATCCCAACTAGCTCAGCACTTCTCCGGATATTTTCGGCACACCAACCACTTCTGCCCCAGGTGGGCCTCATGTGGCGCGTGGCCCGGGCAGCACACGACGAGCCGGACGATTTGGCCGCGCTGTTCCCGGACGCCGTGGAAGAAGCCAGGGATGGGCTGCCGAATGAGCCGCATCCCAGGGTGCAACTGGAAGACGCGGTGTGGTACGAAGTGATGCACAACAAGGAGGGATGGGCAAACTGTGGAGATTCTTATGTTTTTTTTGGGGCAGGGGGTGGGAGGTCAAGATTGGAAGATATTGAAAGTATGGGTAATCCAATTTGTGAAGGATTGGAACAATGAGTTTGTTTGTTCCTTGCCATCTTGATCTGGAAGGCAATACACATGGAACATAGCGAGCTAAAATACTGTAGCCTGCTTGCGGTGTATACAAGATCAACTTGGTGGCTACAGAGTAGATGCTATTCCGTTGTTGTGCTCAAGGAAGAATACCAAGTTGCAAGGCCAAGAGAAAATCGGGAGCTCAACTTGGATTTGAAGGGCCAATGTTTTGGGCTTCATTTGGCGTAGGATTTCGGATGTTGACCCACCTGGACATTCTCAGATTTGAAGCCACTCAAACCCCCTGTGAGATGATCCACCATACTCCGCCATCTACCTAGCTTGGTCCACCCTGAGGTCTTCGTGAAGAAAGTGCCCAGTGAAATGGCCCGCTCCTGGGGCTGGGTTCATCGTGGCCAGAAGATTCAGGTGCGTGCGGCCATGCTAGCGAACTGGAAGTGGAACCACACATGATATTCACTTGTCATATTTTGTCACAAAACAGTATAAATAGATAAATATATATATAAATAAATAAATAAATAATAATAAATAAATAAATATATATATATATATATCAAAATATGTAAACATAAACATGGTGCCGGATCTGAAAGGCTCGCAACTGTCGTCACTTTTCAAGCATTTTATATCGGGGAACTGAAAAGGCTCAAAAACGAAACTTTAGTTTCATAAGCAATATCAACATCATCATCATCATCAACAACATCATCATCATCATGATCATTCTTACCCTCATCACCATCATCATCACCATCATCATCACCAGCATCACCATAATCATCATCATCAACAGCATTGTCAAAAGAACCTACAGCGGCGTAGCACGACGTATGTGTGTAAGTGAAAGAGAACCTACAGCAGCGTAGCATGACGTACGTGTGGATATGAATGAAGTGCGAGAGAGCTTACAGTATTGTTGCATCACATATGTGTGGACGTGCCAATGACGTTATTATCCCACCCCACCCCACCCCATGTCTCACCCCACCCCCTTCCCCCCACTCCCCCACACAATGTTATGTTGATAGTATGATGCAAAAAATGACAACAGCCGCGAGCCTCTCAGATGCCCGGCACCATAAACATGCACAATAAACAATATAATTTATTATATAATCTATATATATATATATACATATGCTCAAGCGACTCATGATGATTCCATTCATTAGTTGCTGGCAGAGCTAAGCGCAACGCAACACTGAGAGGGATGGACCTTCTGCGCCATTTCTGTTTGGAAATTGTTGGGTTCATGCAGAGTCTCGGTGACAGAGAAATCTTGGAACATATTGTTGGTTGTATAACCATGGGCGAAGCCACATGTTCGTGGACATTATCCACACATATACTCCTCTTGTCCACTGCCACTTTGAGGGTTCCAGTTGAAATCTGGTGGCACCACTGCATCTCAAGGTAGCCCCGCAAACAATCCTGGATGAGAACAAGCGGGAGTGGGTGGCTCGGCTAGAGGTTGGAGACTGGTCTTGTAGCGATCGGGGGCAAGGGTGCTGCATGGACAGCTTTGCGTATCGCTATCGCAGGGAAGTCCTAAAATATCTCAAATGGGAGACCCCAAAATCATCCATTGTTTCCTCATGGGGGACCAATGATATTGGAATATCTCATCTCATTTTGGAAACACCTCTTTGCATGTTGTTAAGTTGTAGGATTGCCTGATTCGTTCCAGCGCATACCGCCCCAAAAGGCCTTTCAAAAAATGTGGAAAGTCACCAGCACGTACAGGAGAAGCATCATCCCCTTTCCCTTGAACAAGCGGTAGATGACCCTATTTTGCCCCACACTTTGGGCATGGAAGCTCTTGGAACCCGATGATGGTTGGTTCCCCCCCTTTCGCGACCCTGTAAAAATCTGCCCTAATGAATCGCCAATGGAACTCAGGTGGAACTGACTTTCCTTCAGCTCGCGAGGTCATGCCCAGCACCTAGGCTGCGCTAGAGCTCCTCAATGTGCATGTTCCGCTGTTAAGGTGGACCCAGTTACACAGTTGTGTGTAACTGGGGCTTGCACCTTGAGCTCCAACATGGAACTCGAGACAGCGGAGTTTGAAAGATTGGTTTGCCATGTTTATCATGTGTGTTTATGTTTAATTATTCCATGTTTATTATTTTATCCAAGATTGGAGGCTCCATTTCCACTTCAAGACCAGTCAAGTTATCCGAAATTGATTCAAAAGATCATCGACCCATATTGACCCCCATTTTGTCAGGGATAGTGACATATGTCATTAAATCATAACACTTAAATTGTTGGTTGGTTGCAACTTTGATCCAGCCTTTGGTGGCTCCAGGTCCCCCCTCCGTTCCAGGAACGGCTCTGCTCCGATGACCCACTGGGCCGCGGCTTCGCGCTGGTGGACGGAGACCACTTGGGACTGGGTGCGCTGCTGTCGGGCCCGTTGCCGGCGCAGGAGGGTGGGTGGGGAGGTTTGGAGCCAAGGAGCCTTGGGGTCTTGGGGTGCAATTAGGGTGAAAAACCGTGGGTGTAACGGATGTTCACCCCTATACGTTGGGATACTAACGGATATTGGCCCCTGTGACGATAATTATATATAATCATATAAAAGTCGAACTGCACCCTCAAGAATGAGTATGCAATGTCCCTTCTAAATGGGGATAGTTTAGGTGAGTTTAGAATAGATTTCTTGGTCAGATAGGGTTTGATTGTTTTTTGTTGTATGAAGGGACTACAATAAGCTCGCCATGGAGAAAAAAACGAACTGGTGATTGTGGACAAGATATTGCAGATCTTGAGATGCATCTCATTTCATCTCATCACCCCTCCTTATTTCACAATGTTCGGAAGTCACTTCTTGATGGTTAGATAGTGCTGAAATGTGCTGAACCCGCCGCGGTTATGTTTGCACAGGAAATGTAAGGAACATGTCAATGTGTAGTAAACCACAGTTGCGTACCATATCTTACCATCAATTCTACGATTTTCTTCCCAAGTTTGGCGTTTCGAAGATGTGTAGACGGATTCGTTCTGAGTTTTCCGGACAGTGTTCTCCGATGTCCTCCGCATCCTTGTCGCTGGTATCTCCACTTTGGCGTGCATCCCATTGACAACAAAGATCTTTACATGATTGATGCAAATTTACAATCCATGGAACATTATGTTATTTTAGTACATGGAGATACTCAAATAGCTCACTGTAGTTACAATATGTTACACTGATTTACTCTATCTAAACGTTTTTTTAACCAAGGATTACAAGATCTGCCCCAGGAGTGCCCCGAGTGCCTGGAGGAGGCGCAATGCACGGCCGAGGAGCGCGTCACCTTGCGGCGCCTCTCGGGGCAGCCGCTGCAGATCCAGGCACCGTGCTGGGTGCATTTTGCCGCAGTGGGTCGGGGTTTTCATGGATTTTCATGGGTTTTCACGGATGTTCAAGGATGTTCAAGTCATTTTTATGGATTTTGTGAGAGAAATAGGGGCTCTATGGCACTTAGAACTTAGAACATCTTAGAACTATAGAAGAAAGTAAGTGGGATAGGCGTTTCTTGAAGATAGAGCGATTTGGTGGCAATTTAAACAAACATTTTGAACATATGGGATGTATGTGTTTGAACAGAATGGTGACTATGGCAACTTGAACAACCTAAAAGAAACAAACAAAATGTTTTTGTTTGACAATATGGTGAGTCTATGGCATTTGTTTAATTGCTCAAAATCCCAACATATGGGATTTCTTGAATACCTAGCAATAATTTACAATGTTGTTCTTCCAGCCTGTGGGATATACTGGGATGTATATGACAGTCCAATACGACATGGAAACATTTTTCCATTGGGTCTGGACGATGATATTCCGACAACTTTGCCATGCTTGGAGATGGCTCATTTGGAAAGTACGCCATGTTGGAGTTAGGGGTTGTGCCCCCAAACATGGCAAAAAAGAGGTGAAGCCTGGCGACGCAGTGGCGCGGCTGGTGGCGAAGGCCCAGAAGATCCTACAGGTGCCGTGTGTGGATGACCAGATTGAGGGAGAAAAAAACAGAGTTCCCAGGGCTGCTTTTTTGGAAGGAAGAACTAGGGCAAACATGATATGATGGTGATTTATTTATTGATGACTTTGAATGGTGTTGATCTATGCTGATCTATTTTGATCTGTTTTTTGTTTTATTTTCATGGTTGTTGCTGGTTGTTTTTGCTATAAGGCTACAAGGTACAGTATCCTATGATGGTCAACATGATCCAAAACAACAATCTCAAGGGAAACGGCTGGTGGCCATGCATCACTGGCTGGTTTCCCACCACGGACAGGCTCAAGTGACCTTGGCGCACGAGGGCAAGCTGCTGCCTCTCAGCTGATGTTCGTGGTGACTCGTGGTGACCTACACTTTTAGATCAACATATTATGAATATGGGATTCACCCCACGCCAAAAACAAACTACCATTTGGGGAAGTTGTTTCTTGTTTATTATGTTTATAGCATCCATTCCAGGTGGACTTGGGGATTGCTGATGCACTTTGCATACCCTGCGGTAATCAAACATGGCAATGGAAAATCCTACTAATTTAACAGATCTTTACAGATGATATTCCCACAACAGCTTCCATTTCTAGGGGCTGTTCCAGCCAGTCACGTTGGATTTTTCGGAGCCAAGTTCCGGCCCCAGGAACTTGGATGAACCAGCAGCGGAGCTGGCAGGGAAAGAGGTGGATCTGGTGGTGATGCCACCTTCACCTCGGGCTGTGACAGGTGGGATGGCTGCTTTCCATAGATGGCGACACATCAATGGGGAACGAATGGCAAGTTTCATAGGGAAAACGATGACGGATTTGGTGTTACCCTATGTTGGAACAAACCCAGGTAACATAAATGTTTCACCACGAAAAATTGGGATTTCACATCGTTGAATTCTCGCTGGAAAGGGATGTGTCACCACCGTACAGCTGGCTGTTGGTTTCAATCATGTTTGATGCATCCAAGACACATGTTCAAAAAAATGTTTTGAAAACAAACCCGGGTGATGATGATCATGAATGATTAATATGATGAATATTATGATGAATATTATGGTGAATATGAAAATATGATGATAATGAATATGATGATGAATATGATGCTGAATATGATGATGAATATGATGGTGAATATGATGCTGAATATGATGATGAATATGATGGTGAATATGATGATGAATATGATGGTGAATATGATGGTGAATGTGATGATGAAGAAGATGATGAAGATGATTATGATGAAGAAGAAGATGATGATGGTGGTGGTGGTGGTGGTGGTGGTGATGGTCATGTTGCGTGCCAAAGCTGCGTAGGGGGTCACCATCAAAAGAGGACGACAGTTCACGTCTCTATCAGGCTGCGAGGATGGCTCCATTAGATACTGGGACTTGGACCCTCGGCAAAGGATTGGAACCGGAGCTGGGTGAAGGCTTCAAATGGTATATGGTGGGCCTCAACTTTGCACTCGGAGTCTATCAGATGTGATTCTGACATATTGCGATTTGGGGGTGTTCGGAACTGACTGACCCCTGAATCCGCATAAATCATCCACCAGGATGCTTTGCTGGGAAACATCATGATTTCAGGGCCCTTAGGCCCTTAGGGGCCCTTCTCCAGCCCTCCAGCCCCTTTCCCATCATTGCTAAGGAATCCTTTAGCTGCCTTGGATCCTTAGAAGGACATCGCGGAGCTGCACCTCGCCGATGTTTGCCCGTGGGCATCCGTGGGCATCCGTGGGCATCCATGGGCCCGGGCCAGCTAGATTTGTACACTAGTGCGTGTTGAAAGACAGGATCCTGGACTATCCTGGGCTTCCATGCCTGTTGATCAAGCTGAAGGGTCCCGGCTCCATTCCAGGTCTGGGCGTTGGATGCAGATCTGCCCTCCAGGCTGGCACTCAGCGGCTCGGCCGACACCTCGCTGATCCTGTGGGACCTGGAGCGATTGGAATCCTTGCGAAGCTTCGAAGGCACCTGGGGAATGCTGATGGAACTGGGGGAACAATGTGTATTTTAGAGGCATATATAGACAGAGACCCTGAAACTAAGCACATACTGTAATAACAATAACAATATTAGAAATAATACAATAAGAATCATTCATATTCAGAATGGTTTTACATGGTCATTTTTGTTGTCACCCCAAAATGGGCAAACTGTTCTGACTTGGGAATTGATTTGCAATCTAAGCCGGAAATGTAAATCCATCAGTGATGTTCTTACCAGAAAGTGGGAGTATCCATTGCCATCTTCAACTACCAGACTACCAGAGGATGACTGAAACATATTACAGGAATTCATAGGATATCACAGGAACTATCAATTTGGATCATGACTTTGATGGCCTTTAAATATCAGTTTTGAGATGTCAAAACGAATCCCTTACCCCGGATATCAAAGACAAACGTACCTCCCGATCGCTTCCCACGAAGTTAGTATTGGATCTATTCATTCGCGGGTCACCGCGATGTCACTCCAATGATAGTCATAGTAAGGGGATGCAAGGATTCCCCATAATTTCCCACATATAGATCCCATACAAGTCATTGAATTCCCCATATGATAGTTCTATGTAAGTTATGTTCTATGAGTAAGTCACTCTATGTCACTATATTTCCCTTACATCCCCATATTATTCCCCTATATATTCCCGTATATATTCCCCTATGTTAGTATGTAATACGGAATCATCCCGCCCAAATAGCCTTATTTCAGGACATCTCGAGGCATGTGTGTTCACTTGGCCGGTGGATGCATCTCTCTTAAGTGATGGGTGGCATGGTGTGTTTTTTTGGAACCCTTATTTCAGCTGAGTGAATTATTACACATTTAATATCATTTAAAATTATATATACTTATACATATATATATATATGAAATTTATTGAAATCTGGTATATATTTGATATAATATAAACATATTATATATATATATGCTTATATCACTTGATTCAGATGTGTTCTTTCCAGATCGTTGCCGCCATTTTCGCTCCCCGGACTGTCACCTTTTTCCCTGTCAGGGCACAGCGGCGCGGTGTGCTGCGTCTCAGCCGACTTCCAGCGCAAGTGGGCGGTCAGCGGCTCAGACGATGGCACCCTGCGGCTTTGGTGCCTCGGCGAAGGGCCGGAAGAGGGGAGATTAAACATATATGATTATTGTGGGGATTATTGTTCATTAATTATTCGGATAATTCTAGGGTTCATCCCACTTTCCTGAAAATGTCCATTGTTGATTTGTTGATTGGTTAGGTCCTTTGGGATCCACAAAGGGCCGACTTCACCATCCATGTTTGATCGGTGGATCCCACGTGGCGAAGTGGTGGTTGACAACCATGGCAAAACCCCATTTATCACTGGGAGAACCACCAATTATTACGTGTAATATATATATATATATGTATATATACTATATATACAAGGTCATAGAGGGTCCATGGTTATATTTTAGGATGTTTTAAAAAAGTTTTCTTTATCCACTACTCTTCCCTTAATTTTCCATTGCTGTTCCCTTAACTGTTCCCTTAACTTTCCATTACTTTTCCCTTAATTTTCCATTACTGTTCCCTTAACTGTTCCCTTAACTTTCCATTACTGTTCCCTTAACTTTCCATTACTGTTCCCTTAATTTTCCATTACTGTTCCCTTAATTTTCCATTACTGTTCCCTTAACTTTCCATTACTGTTCCCTTAATTTTCCATTACTGTTCCCTTAATTTTCCATTACTGTTCCCTTAACTTTCCATTACTGTTCCCTTAATTTTCCATTACTGTTCCCTTAACTTTCCATTACTGTTCCCTTAATTTTCCATTACTGTTCCCTTAACTGTTCCCTTAATTTTCCATTACTGTTCCCTTAGCTTTCCCTTAGTTTTGGGGTCCAAATTTGCCAAAAATCAATGATTTCGAGTCCCCAAATTGGCCTCCAAGTTGGTCTCCAAATTGGCCCCCAGGGGCCCCATTAATGTTCCCTTAACTCCCCCCAGTTAAGGGAACAGTAATGGAAAAAGTTAAGGGAACAGTAATTCTAACTCTCACATTTGCATTCGTGAAGCTGGCCCTTCTTTCTGTTTTTTGGGAATATCATAGGTTGTTTTAGGTACACATCTTGTGCAAGCAGTGCTGGCAATACCCACACTCAATTTGATTCTGTTTTTCTCCCCTTTCATGTTGCTTTCCAAACTTGTACCTTTTCTATTGCACCTTCCTTCTTTTAGAAGGCGCACAACCCCCAACAGGTTTGCTGTCCATAGCTCGGAGGGCACTTTGCTCCGTGCTAGACAACGTGTTCCACCACATCCAACTCCAGCTGACAACACAGCTCAAAGCTTGTTGAAAAGTTCGAACTGTGCCACGGGAAAGCATTTGACCATCCTCTGGTAGGTAGGAGACCGCTCTGGATCCCTTTCCCTCATACCGGAAAGATGGTGGCAAGTGAACCTGTACAAAGGGATTTGATTTTGCCGGGTATCCTCGGTGTAGCTGAAGCCCAGGGGGAAGGTCTGCTTCAGTGGCCACGTGCGGCCGCTTCGGTTCATGAACCCCACCTGCATCAGCTTGCTGCGCCTGCCAAGCAAATCTTTTGGCTTACAGGAATGAGGGATTGGAAACTATCCATAACCAAGAGTCCATCATGTAAAGGGTTTATTTTACATTATCTATGAATAAAAAAAAGCCTCGGTTGTAATCTGTGTTTATTTACACTGATCTCTTTTGTTTCTGAGCAACAATCCTTTCAGCATGCAGGCTATGCTGTCATGTGGGTGGTCCTGTCATGTGAGACACGAAGGATTCCCTCAAACAGAATTGAAAAAAGTTTGGAGAAACCGTGGGCAGACATGAGTCTGCAAATTTAGATAAACGCCTTCTCTGGTTTCGAATCCGCATCATCAGGTTCTGGGTCTTCCCGTTTGGGCTCCTGAGCGAGCTGGGATCAATTGCAAGCTTAGCACTACCTCAAGGAGATTCTTGATAATATGTATGAAATAGATATAGAATTATCTTTATCATCTATCTTTCCACACTAAAAGATGATGTCTAAAATGGTCTGAAACGAAAAACATATCATATGACCATATCACTGTTTTAACGTTCTGTTACCCTATTTGGTGGGCCACTATGAATCAAGTCACCATTGAGGGGGTAAGGAGCTCATCTGGTTACATGAATCTAGCTTATCTACAAGCTGGATCCCTTAATCACGATGACGATAATGTTGATCAATGATGATGATGATGATGATTGATGATGATTGATGATTGATGATTGATGATGATGATGATGATGGTGATGATGATGAGTTTTAACCTGTCAGGTTTCTAGACCCCAAAGGAAAGGTCAAGGAACTGTTTGTCCGAGCCGCCCATTGGACTAAACAAACCTTCTCCATTTTTTGGCTGTAACTGGTGATTATATTCAAGCAAGTAACGGTAGTCAAAGGAAGAGCATCGCAGTTGCCTCGCTTTGAAGCCCCCCCGAAGCTCGGGACTGGCCGAAGATCTCAACAGCATCCAGCGTCGCCCATGGTCGACGACAGGGTGATGTCGCCAAACCAGGGTATCTATCAATCAGATACACCTGCAACTCATAGAGGCTGCATGGTGGTTGTATCACCACCTTCGAAAGAACAGCCATGGCTTCAAAAAGAGAAGGCCTCTGGAAAAAAAACAACTTTGAGCCCTATGCTTTAGTCTGCCACCAGTTGGCAGTGCGACCATGATCTCAAGCATGCAAAACCACCTTAGGACATCACTGGGTCCTGCCACTGAACTGACACAACCGATCTCCAGGAGAAATGGGCATCAATCAAATTTTTGCATCTCCCCCAGCTTAAAAGAACGATACAGGTATTGAGACCGAATGTTGGAAAAGAATGCGCATTCATGGGTTAGAGTAATGCGAATTAGGTTGTAAAAACCATTACTGTTCCCTTAACTCGCTGTTCCCTTAACTCCCCCAGTTAAGGGAACAGTAATGGAGGTTTTGGGGTCCGTTTTGGGGTCCAAAATTCGCCAGATCAATGATTTCGAGTCCCGAAATTGGCTTCCAAATTGGTCTCCAAATTGGCCCCCAGGGGCCCCATTACTGTTCCCTTAACTCCCCCCCAGTTAAGGGAACAGTAATGGAAAAAGTTAAGGGAACAGTAATGCAGAAAATGGAGAAAGTTAAGGGCACAGTAATGCAGAAAATGGAGAAAGTTAAGGGAACAATAATGCAGAAAATGGAGAAAGTTAAGGGAACAATAATGCACAAAAATGGAGAAAGTTAAGGGAACAGTAATGCACGAAAATGGAGAAAGTTCAGGGAACAGTAATAAACTGAATAAGACAGTAATGCCAGATAGGCTCTAAAGAGACCCCTCAAAAACGTGCTAGAGCGACATGCTAAGTTATATTATGTTATGACTATAATCCGCTTACTAGGCAGTATGCACATCCAAGAAGGATCGGACCCCGTGGTTGGGGAAAGGCGTTTAGATTACCCCCCAGGAAAGAAACATTGCAATCGCAAACAGGTTGGGATGTTCCAGTGCAATGTATGGTTGCTCACATAGCATGAAACCTCAAGTTGAGGCTATGACCACAGCAACTATGTTCTTCTTGAGTGTAGTGGTGCAAATAAACTGAATAAGACCCAATTTCATTTGTTTGAGGTCCTACCTCCACGTCGGTGGAAGAGGGCTGAATCGGCAGCACGAAACGGGCAGGCAAAAAGAATTTGATAAGATCCCCAAAAAGAATTTGCATCTGAATAATAAAAGAAAAGAAAAACAAGAGGGTGTGATTTCACACCTCACTGCAAGAGAAGAAAAAACGAAAAAAAAATCAAAAAGATGGATGCGGCCACACGAGCCGCATGAAATTCAATGGAAGGGGACACAGTAGGAGCTTTAGTTCGGCTGTGCTGTCTGCGCTGCTGGTGCTCGCTGTCTGCCCTTGTGCCAGTGCTTGCACTGACGACGACTTCCGCTGTGACGCCCTGACAACGACGACAAAGTTTCCCGTTGTAGCTGCCCCAGGGTCAGACGCGTCAACTCACAATGAGACACGGCGACACGCACACATGTCACGCTTTGCGGTACGGAGCTGCAAGTAGGTGCCATGGACGGGTGCGGTGGCCTTGGCAATGAGTTCAAAATTCAGACCTCGGCAGCATTGAGGTGGTGGTGGAATCAATGGTACCATAACCCCTTTTGGAGGTTTGTGGTGTTTTTCGGATCCTTGGGTGGTAGCTGCTTTACCTTTGTGTCATGGCTCCTCAGGGTCCTTATACCAAACAATTAAAAAACAACATTAAAATTAAAAAAGTGAAAAAACATAATTTGACCGTGGGAAGCCAAGTTGAGAGATGGAAGCTTTTCTGTGTGGCCTTCGCCGCAAGAAAGGTCAAAAAGACACGTTGCAAACACACGCGGTCCAATTTGCGAAACCAGTTTCGATACCGTGTCTTGTGCCTGAAAGGCCATCAAGGAGACCGGTTGTCAGGGTTGCAATCTCAACCAATGACTGCTAGACTGGTCCGTAATTATTTTCATGGATTTTGTGATATGAGATCATATCATAACATAAATGGTGTTTTCTCAAATGTGCTGTCAGGGGGCGCTCACGGTGCCCATGTCACGAAACGTAAACAGCTTAACAGACAAAACGAATCCAACAGTGAGGAGTCTTTAGCCGCTTCTCTCCAAACCTTTTTGCAGAAATGGGACAATGAAAAGCCCACTAAAAAGAAGAGGACTGGCACGAAACCAACTCAGCAAGACCACTCTTTGGCCAAACAACTCCGGGGGGTGATTCAGACGTGTGTCAATGATGGACAACGGGACCAAGTGGTTGCACAGAAGATAAAGGCATCTTTGAGTCAGTGGCAACGTGGCAATGCTTGGACTAAGGCCAGCTGGTCTGACACTTGGGTAACAAATCAAACTGAACGAGATGGAAGCATTTGGTATGCTTCCCAGAACCACCCTACAAATGGAAAACGTATTGAAACACCAGCGAACCCCAATTATGGCCCCAGGGCCAAGAGACCTAGGGTTTCAGCAGTAGACACCGGTCGCTCAGTGACCGCTCAAATTGGGTCTGATGAAACTCGGACGGTCCGGAGCCCAT